TGCCAGAGCAGAGGGAGTGGGGAGTGGGTAGAAAGCATGTCACAGAGGTAGGGAGGTGTCAGGGGGTGAAAACATTTGTAGACAAGTGAGGCAAGCATCCAGTGCAGTGAGTAGTGTCTCGAGAACGCAAACGGTCACATTATTCATCAGCTTGGTCTCTCCTCTGTCCCGCTAAACAAGCTGTGACGATTCATGGATCGAGCGCCAAAGGGACGAGAAGTGAAGCACATAGTCTGGCAGTTTAAAGACACGATATTTACAACTAGTTGAATGCTTTGCATTGAGGGCAATGACATGACGACACTGCTCTCCCTCAATTTGCATCAGCACAGATGGTGTGTTTACGTGCAGACTCTCTCGGTGTACTCCTTCACAACCAGCTGCAGATGTCGTTGGAACTACCTTGTCTGTGCCTGTACCAAGCCTCTCCCTACGGCTTCTATATTGGGTCCAGCAGAGGTGGTTTGTGTTAGTGGAGACGCAGGAGCTGTGCTGTCGGCTGTTTCAGGCTGTGCAGAGGCTGCTCTCTGTCCTTTTTGAGAACATTAAAATTAATTTCAATTAATTCATAAAAAACTTCAAATGCTGCAGCCATTGTTGAATAACGTTAATTCCAAGCTGACACTAAACCTCCTGGGGGTCATTCTTCTTGCTAAGATTAAGCACCTGAGCCATCGACAGTTGCCCCAGTTAGCTGACGAGCTGAGCAGCAATAATAATAAATAATGATAAACCTTGCATTTGACACCGAGCCAGAGAGAAAGGGGACGTGACTGCAGGCACAGTCTAAGAGGAAAGTCTTCAGGTATAATTTGGACACAGACACAGAGGGAGTAAGGTACAGGGAGTTCCAGGGGTTCAAGGTAATAGTGGCTGAAGGCATGGCCGCCAATGGTGGAGCACTGTTTGGGGAACACAGAAGCCTGAGCTGACTGAACAAAGAGGGCGAGTAGAGGAGTGGGGTTGGAGAGGCAGGGAACGGCCAAATGCAGTGATTTGTAGGAGCTTAATACAAACATAGAAACAGCAGGAGGCTATTCAGCTTGAGTCTGTTTCTCCATTCCATAAGATCATGGCTGATCTGTACCTCAACTTCAATTACCCGCCTTTGTCCCATATCCCCTGACCTAACAAATATCTATCCACCTCAGTCTTGACAATGTGAATGGCTCCACAGCATCCACGGCCTTTTAGGGGAGAGTTCCAGATTTCATCTGCCCTTCAGGTGAAAAACTGCCTCATGATTTCACTCCAAAATGGTCTGTCTCTAATTTTATGATGTTCTTTTCAGGGAGTTCCAGAGGTTCAAGGGAATAGAGACCAAAGTTATACAACCTGCTCTCGTAATTTAACCCTTTTAACCCTGGTATTATTCTGGTTAATTTGTGCTGCACCCCCCCCCCCCCCCCCCCCAGAGCCGATATATCCTTCCTGAGGCCCAAAAATGAACGCAGTCTCAGGACCATTTCCTCTCCTTTATATTCCAGGCCCTTGAGATAAAGGCCAACATCCCATTAACCTTTTTGATAACTTTTTTGTACCTGTGATCTTGTTTTTAGTGATTTGCTCTTCCACAGATCTTAGTTTCTCACCATTTACAAAGTATTCCATTTTGCTATTTTTGGATGACCTCATACTTCCCCAGATTGAATTCCACCTGCCACAGTTTTGCCCACTCACTGTATCAAAGTCCCTTTATAACTTTATAATGCACAAAATCCAATTAATCGAATACTCCGCCGGCTGGATACTCACCGGCATGAACCTCCGTCCCTCATCACACCAGTCCTTGCCAGGCTCCACTGGCTCCTAATCACCGAACAGATCGACTTCAAGATCCTCTCACTCATTTTCAAATCACTTAAGTCCCTCCCAGCTTCCTACCTCTCCGACCTGCTAATCCCCCATTCCACCACTCGCTGCCTCCAGCCTCCTATTTGTCCCTTGTGCGCTCCGTTCCACCATCGGCGGCCACACCTTCAACCACTACACCCCGAAACTCTGGAACACAGCCCCTCAATCCCTCCGCATTACCCACCCCCCTCCCTCCCCACCTTCAAATCCCGCCCAAAGATCGTGCTTCGTCACCTTCCCGCTCCCTTTTGCCTGGCTTGTTGTCAGGCTCCACCACTGTCAAGCACTCCGGGATGCTACCTGTGTGAAGGGCGCTATGTAAAGTTGTTGTTGTTATTAACTGCCTGCTCCCATCTACACAATTTACTAAGCCTCATAACTTTGCATCTGCAAATTTGGATATAAAACTCTCCTTCATCCAAGACATATACAGGTGAAAAGCTGAGGCCCCGGTACAGAGCCCTGGGGAACACCACTCATCACATCCCACTAATCAGAAAACGTTCCTTTCCTCCCTACTGTTTCCTGCTCCCATTTTCTCCATTACCTTTTTTAATTTAATAATAATCCTTGGATTTGATATAGCACCTTATCACATCTTCGAGACATCGCAAAGAGTTTGTTTATATTAAATATATATTTATTTATATTGAATGTATTTAGTACTTCTCTTTGGCTTATTTTTAGGTTCTCTTGTACCACTGGTATTTTGTCCTCTTCCTCTACTGTGAAAACAGAAGTATTTATTCAACAAACTTGACATTTCCTTATTGTCCATTATTCTCACCAACATCTGTCTTTAATGGGCCCATATTCCTCTTTGCGACTTTCTCTTAATAGATTTATAAAAACTTTTACTGTTGCCCTTGATATTCCTTGCGAGGTTTTTCTCATATTCCCTTTTTGCACCTCTTCTTACTTTATATGTTGCTTCTTATAAGTCTCCCAGGCCGCTGGATTTCCATGGTTTCTTGCAGTAGTGTAAACCTTTTCTTTTAGTTTGTTGCTGCCACTCACCTCATTTGTTGACGATGAACTCCACAAGAGGAGCTTTTGTGTTTAGGGGTATGGACTGGTTTTGTATTGTACCAAATTCTTCTTTGAATGGTTCCCACTGTATGTCTGTGGGTTTATCCATTAACAGTTCAGTTCAGTTTACTGCAGTTGATTTATTTCTCATCCTTTCTAAGTTCGCCTTGTTTAAATTTAAAATCGTGGTTTGCGACTCTCCCTTCTCCCCCTCAAACCTTATATCAAATTCAATATCATTATAATAATGCTTTAATTTCATATATAGCACCTCATCACGTCTTAAAGCATTTCATAGAATATGCTGTAAAGTGAATTGACTGTATATTTTGTGGGAGAAACAAGTCTATTTGAGTGAATTATGGTCACTATTTGCCAGATGTTGCCTTACCTTCACATTGTTAACTATACTGGTTCGTTACTCATCACCAAGTCTAGTTCGCCTAATCTAGTCCGTTCTAAAACATATTGTTCCAGAAAACTGTCCTGAATACATTCTGAAAAATTGTTGCGTTGCCTACTGGAGCTATTCTGCTTCTCCCAGTCTATATGAAAATGAAAATCTCCCATTACAACCACATTGCTTTTGTTACATTCTTCCCTGATCTCTGCATTTATTTCATCCCCCCACTACATCACTACTATCTGGAGGTCTGTAGACAACTCCCAACAGAGTCTTGCCTCCTTTGGTGTTCCTTAATTCTACCCATAGTGTTTCCATGGCCTGATCACCCTGACTGAGATCCTTTCTTTCCACTGCTGTAATTATGCCTTTTATCAGTATTGCTGCTTCTCCTTTCCCAATCTCCCTGTCCTTTCTAAAGATCTTATAGCCTGGAATATTTAGCGCCCAGTTATGCCCAGCTTGTAGCTTATAATGCACTTGTTTTATTACTTATGCCACGTGCATTCGTGTACAGAACACTTATTCGGATAACTGTCTTCATCCTGCTCATATGCCGTGACATTGTTTTTTTCTCACTTTGTCTCGTCACACTTGTGCTTACTTCGTATAACCCTTTTTCTTCTCAGAGTGTTCATGTTTTCTTTGTCACTTTCCATAAAATCTGACCTTTGCTCTTAATCCTCCGTATTCTTATCTTTAGTTTACTGTATGAGGATCTTGAACTCAATAAATTCTGAGACAGGCAGCCAGTAGACTTGGATAATGGGGTGTGGAGTTTGGTACGAATGAGAATACGGGCAGTGGAGTTCTGAATTAGTTGGCCCTAATACCTACAAACACACATGATAAAGAAAGTACTTTGAGATAACTGGAAGTCATAAATGCTAAGCGAATGCAAGGATTAGTATTCATTGTAGATCTCTCCAGCACTTAATTCAGATAGTGCAACAACCGCAGGTAAATCGTGACATCTGTAGATCAGAACCATTTCAAATTTAATAAGATGTTGAGTTCCGTAATAGCCGAACAGCAACTTGCATTTATATATAGCACCCTTCACAAAGGGTAGCATCTCAGAGTGCTTAAGAGTGGTGGAGCTTGACTCTGAGCTGGGAAGAGAAGAGGTGACCAGCAAGATAAAGAGATTGAGACAGAATCCAGAGTCTTGGGGCGTAGCGGCTGAAAGCCGATGGTGGAGCGGAGGGGACAAGTGATATGTAGGAGACTGGTGCCGGCTGAGCGAAGAGGGTGGGTAGAGGAGTGGGCAAGCAGACTGGAGAGGTAGGGAGCTGCCAGGGTAAGAAGTGATATCAAGCGAGTATGAGGATCTTGAAACCAACCCTTTCTGCAATAGGGAGCCAGTGGAGCCTGGCAAAGACTGAGGAGTTTAGTACAGGAAAAGATACGGCTAGCATACAACTAACAATTAGTTATGCATCACAAATGAGATATTGTCATTGCTGTTTCCAACACAGTAGTGAACTGATTCAGCCCTAACAATAGTCTTCATCTTATTTTCTATAAGTCTTCTTTTATTCGGTACAGTAATGATAAGCAATATAACAACTCTAGTGGATTTTATATCAAGATAGCAGTCTTACCACAGCATTTCTGCAACAAACGCAATTTGCAAAACCCTTTTAAAGGATTTAAAAAAGCTATCTCAGCATATTTTAGATTCTTTTCCAAACAAAAGTCCGTAACAAAAACGAACAGAAAACAGTAAAATGTATTAAATCAAAAAGCATTGCATATATTTACAGCACTTAGTGTTCCTAATACAGTACTACATGAACAGATCAGGAAACATTTCTAGTGTAATAAAGCAGGCAACTATTTCACTGTGTACACAGCTTATAAGTCACATGGAACAAGCTGATCTAAGCAGCTTCTTCAGATGTTCGTGGAACGTTAAACCTCTTCATCCGGTTCTTGCATATTCGACATTTTGAGAGACGTTGCGGGAAATTGTTAATCCAGAAACTGATTATACAACCCAATGTTACACAACACGGAGGTTAATTCCATGTCTCAATCCAGACAGAAGACATCTTCAGCCCAGAGCTGGATCATACACACAAATATGGTTAAATTATTGGCCAGTTGGCAACAAGGTAGCCACAATTATAAGTGCCAACAAGGTAACTACATCCAATTTACATCAAACCACTTGGACAGAAATGCCACTGAGATATCATTTTTGGCTTCCAAACATTGGATAATTAGACAGTGAAACTGAAGAGTTTTTTCTCCCCTCACGCAAATGGATTTTCTAGTCACCACTGTTTGTGAGGCAGCATCAAAAGGGATCTTTTTTTACATAAAAAAAATCCATGACCAGTACCTTGACTATTGCTCCATGAATTGAACTCAAACCTTGGTCAGGCACTCCGGCACTGGAAGGCAAGCTTTCAGATTGGTCCTTTGTTAAAGAGAGAAACCAAGTCACTGAGCGTCCCTGTGTGCCTGGTGCAATCTTTAAATGACTTTGCTTCTGCTGTTCGTCTTCACTGTGCAACCCTCACACAGCTGTCTGCAGCATCTGTGTTTCAATGGCCCAACAGACCAGTACCTGGAATAGGAACCAAACAGGATGTTATTGCTTTAAGCGCTCTGGGACACTACCTCGTGTGAAAGGTGCTATATAAATGCAAGTTGTTGTTTGATCATTGAAAGCTGGCCTCATGTTTTGTGCACCAAGAATAAGAACTACACAGCCACAGAACAATCCGGTTTCTTCTATACATCACGCAATACTATCATTTGCTCTCCAATTAGGCAGAGCCATGAGATCAGACAATACATTTCACATTCTCACAACCCGGAATGTGGATCACAGTCCTTCAGCCCACAGATGCAGAATCAATGGGATTGGTAAAAGGCAAGACGGAGATGCACTTTAGGATACAGAGAAAGGTTGGGAAATTGGGATTAAATTGATATAACCTAATCAAATTAGAGAGCAGGCTCAATGGGCCGAATGGCCTCCTCCTGTTCCTGTTACTAGATGCAATGCAGTGCGTCTCTCAAGTCTGAGATGCATGCCCCATCACACTCTCCATCCCAACATACCAGCATTCCCATCACCATCGAAACCTTTTCGAGTATCTATCAAGTAAGAGCAACTTTCTATACTGAGCAACAAGAAATATTTTATTGAAATCAGACTCAGCTTCTACAGAGATAAACTACCCGGCATCACAGGGAAGTCTTTGTAAGAAACAAAACAACTTACCCTTAAAACCCTCTTCAGGCATACATACTAGAAAGAAAAAGAAAACACTGTGAAGTCCTATGATAGGTTGGTTGCGCACAGTGAAATTGTAAACACAAAACAACGGCAGACATTTCATCATTTCTAACTACAAGAACACTTGACATTAAAATAAATTAAAGTTTCTGATGAAGGGCCCCGGCTTGTCCAATCCCAGAGGCTGATTGTCTTGGTGCTGGGGTTGAATATTAAACCTTTCCGGATGAAACATTTCAAATTCCAGCAGTTTACCCAATTCCTACCTTGCATTATATCGTCCATTGCGGTATAATCAGCAATTGGTTCGTCCGCCTTAGATATAGAAAGAAATTGAAAGCAATTTAATTTTCAAGGATATGTATTAATATCAAATGTCTACGTTATTAGTACAGAAGAACGTGCACTAACTAATGCACCTACTTATCCACAATGGGGCCAGTCTCAATTACTGCTGATAACAGGATCCTCCTCACTGTCGTCTCTAAAGATCAAGTGTGGACTGAGGCAGACTAACTGAACACTAAGTTACCCAAAGTGTATGTTTCCATCAAAACATCACTGAAGTAACCACAATATTGAAGTATAGGGCACTGCCATCAGAGAGCACTTCGCTGGAGCTCACGTTCTCTCACAGCGAGGTGCTTTTGTGGCTGTGCGATCACTGGGTGTGGACTGGCCAGCTTACTGAGCAACCTCTCCTGTGAGCATCTCTAGCACTAGAAGTGATGTCGGTGGTGACCTGATGAGCCAGGATGGGCAAACCAGTTTTCGCAGATCCTTATAATGGGGCACCTAATTTTATGCACCCAAAACACCATGTTATAATAATGATCCTGTACATGAAAAACAACTATTAATATTAAAGCTTGCTTTTTTCAGGAAGCGAACCACAAAGTCACCAGAACTTTATTAAGCAATGGCTTTCATTAATTGGCTATGGTTGGAGTAAAGTACCTTTAAGAGGATGACAGATTCAGGAATTATACCCAGATTTCCAAGTGTTGCAGTGTCGTCAGTCAGCATTCGGCCCTCCAGTGACAAATTCTGATCAAATGGAGCAACGGAAAATGCGTGCATAATCTGCGGGTATGACAGAGGAAGACTGAATCCCAAAAATCATCACTTTAAACAATTAATCCCAGCAACACAACTCTCTGATTACATATTGTGACGTTATGTTGTGAAGACATCTTGAAAGTTCTCTTTTCAACAATTTTTCATTCAAACACCAAATGCGAATGGAAACATTTTCAAGTAATTTACCAGAAGTTTTGAGATCAAATCTATATTGGTCCTTATTGTACAACAGGGTCTCATACAGGCATTTCACCCGGTTAATGATATTCATCAACTTAAAATCACTAGCTTTTGTTCATTATAACCAGTACTGCAGCAATCCCAGAAGGTACACAGCTACTGTTCCTTACCTGTATTTTTAGCTCTTTCAATGTTTGATTGGCGGACACCAGAAGCTCCTTCTCTCCCCGCACTCTGTGGCGTGTACTGCGGCGAATGCCAGGTTTATAGTGTACGCTGCTGTGTGTGTTGCCAATACACAGATGTGCCAGTTTACGCCGTTTGGCTCCATTACTCTAAAAGCAAGAGATTTAGTCTGCATTAGCTTACCACGGTACAAGTACTTACCAGTGTATAAGTTTGAAAATGAAATCACTTCCTATTAATTTCAACGAAAATCTTAACGGAAGAATAATTAAGGGGCTGGGTGGGGGGGGAGTTGGGGGGGAGAACTGAACCCTGGTTTTAAATGTATAGTATTTGAATGAAAGGTTTTTATGTATGGTAAAGCTACGTTCCCATCTCAATTCACGCCCTGCCCTTTGTGGCCAAAACTCTGATTCACGTCCCTCCAAACTGGACTTTCCCAATGGTCTCCTCACCAGCCCGTCAAGCACTACCATCCACAGGCTCCAACTTAGCCACCGTTCAGCTGCTCGCACTTTACCCACTAGCCTTCATAATACCCTTCACTCTGTCCCTTGTCTCCCCATGATCAGCTTAAAGATCTCCACTTTCCACCTACAAATCCCTTCACGCCCTTGCTCCGCTGTGACTTTTATGAAGCCTCACTTTCCTGTCGCTCCTTCTGTTTGGCAAGCTCAGCTTTGCTTTGCATTCCTCACCGTCCGTCCCACCCTCGGTGGCTGACCTTACAATCACTATTACCCTGGAACTCCATACTTGAAGCTCTCCCACATCTGTGTTACCCTCCCTCCTCTCCCTCCGTTCCTGCTTGGTGTCTGCCACAGTCTCTAAAGCACTAGAGATGTTGCCCTGTGTGAAAGATGCTGTATAAATGCCCATTGTCATTTACACACACCAGGTTGCAGCTGCAACGACAGGTCACCAGGCTAAAGTCTCTGCTACACAATGCAAGAGGCTTTACATAAACTATTCATAAGCAGCAACTGAAACAAAGCTACCACACAACCACTCCTTTATGATACTGGAGTTAAATGCCACACTACCTGGTTAAAGTCAGGATCTTTCTCTCCTTCTATCTTGAATTCTTCCCTCTCCTCCTCGGCCTCAGAACCACTCATGTTTAGCTCTGGTGCACCTTCTTTCATAACCTGAGAAGTAAAGCAATCACTTGTGACGCAAACTAGCTACTAACACCCCGTTATACCCTGCCCACAATCCACAATGTGGAGTCATCCAGCTTTCGAAATTTCAACTAGGTTATATGTCTGAAGAGAGGCTGACTGATTTGTATTTATCCCATTATCCTCTCCTCCTGGGAATGGGGGGAGGAAAAAGGAGAGTCTAGTAGGATCTCCATCATTTTGAGCTGGCTCTATGATGATATACCTGGCAATAGAATATCAGAAGCGATTTGATCCTCTCAGGTGGTGGGTATTCCAGAGCTAAATGCAGCTGCAGTTCTCTAAGACACTGTTGATGACAGACCAGAGTCTGGCTCTTTGGTCACGGGAGGGGGAGAAACTGGGATTCCCACTCAGATCTCATTAACAGCCAAAGCCCTAACAAGTAGTCGGGTTGTACTTGGAGAAGCAGCTAGAAGCCTGCCAGATGGGGTTTGCAATAGAAAGCTACACAATGGTATTGCTGGTTAAACTCCAACACCACCTAACGCATACTCTGGGTTGGTCCCCAATCCTCAATTCCTTGCCTCAATACTCTCCAGAATTAGGCAAGTTTCCCTCTGTGTGTAGGTGGGATGCATGGAACTCTCAGTCTGGATGGATACTCTTAAGCATGGTGATGGGTTTCCACACATGCCAGACACCCAACTGACTGAAAAAAAATACTTAAACAGCCTCATTGGCAATCGTCCTAGTTAATAAAACACAAAAGTGTGGTCGGTATGATTTATACTCTGGGCACTTTACCTTCCCAAGTCCAAACAGTTCTCAGCACTTCAATTACATGAGCATTGTCATATACAGTCAATTCACTTCACTTTACAGTGCACAAGATATCTATTATACTATCAGCTTTCATTCCTAAATTACACTCGAAAGTATTTAACTCGGGCAAAGGATGCCAGTCTATATTACACTCGAAAGTATTTAACTTGGGTAAAGGATGCCAGTCTAACGGTGTAATACTTTTTTCCTCGTCTTCTCTCCATATCCCTCAATTGTTGATCGTCCTCTAACTGGACTGAAAGCACCTGTAATTGGTACCCTTTATAAGGTAAGTGCTCTGGGACGCTGGCCGCATGAAGGGAACTATATAAATATAAAAGTTGTTGTTTTAATACAGTGACTGCACCATTAATTGCCACTGGTGGAGGTAATCCGTCACAGCATTGGAGCACAGCAAGAGTGCTAAAAACATGCTTAATATTATTTTGCCATTGCACAACGCTGGTTCCCCTGTACAACTAAGCCTTCATCATTACAGATCTTCACCTTCTTCTGCATAAATGCCCACACAGTGAAGCTAACAAACTTGTTTGTTTCAGAGTATTATTGATGCAAAGTGTTCCAAGATTTGATGTGGAACTAGGAAGAACCCATACAAACAGCAAAGCTTAAAATCTGAATTTTTATTCTTAATCACAAAAAAACACAACATGATTTTCCAGAATGAATACAAGATTTCATCTGATAACATGGTAATTTTCTGTGCATTCAACCCATCATAACTATGCCAATATTACTTTGTTTTTCTAAATCCTTTGTTATTAATCCCATTTGGCAACTCTCTCCACACATCCCTTTATACCGTTAATACTCAGATTGATGATATCGGTCCAGTCTCGAGGGTAACTGCAAACCCCAACAAGCTTCTGAAGAAATCTGTTCTAACTTCTTATCATAGAATCTTACAGCACAGAAGGAGGCCATTCGGCCCATCGAGCCTCTGCCGGCTCTTTGAAAAACTAGTCTCACTCTCCCACTCTCACTGCATAGCCCTGCACATTTTTCGTTTTCAAATAGCTATCCAATTGCCTTCTTCTGCGATTCTTCTACTAAAATCCTAGGACTATTCCCCTGGTCACTGACTATTTTTTCCTGTCCTTTCAGCATATTAAACACTGTTTTGAAATCCCTTTTCAATCTCCTCTACCGCATTGGAAAAAGCACCAAATTAGCTCAGCCTCTCTTCAGATCTAGATTGTCTCATACCTGGTACCTTCACGATTTGGAATTGAAAGCTCAAATGAGCCACATTCTGGACAAAGTTTAGCAGAGCTCCACCTCGTAACATGCCAATAAATTGGACAAGAATAAAAAAAGAAAGCTCACCTTGATATTGTCCACAACTTTACGGATGTATATGGTGGCTTGGGTGTACTCTCTGAGGTCTCGCTGCTGCTGGCACAACAAGCCCTCTCGACACTCCACACACAGCCCTGCACGGTAAGAACAAAAAACATTTTAAAAGTGTTATAAAAAAAACCTAGCAACAGGATAATTTCAGTGAGGTAACAACAACAAAATTACATTTGCATATTGCCTTTCACGCCGGGGGGATGTCCCAAGGCGTTGAACAGGCAGAGTTCCGGACCCGAGCTGAGGATAAGCGTGGGGGAGGGCGCGGGGGGGGAAGCAGGGAGATCGAATGCACGGTCGAAGAGCAGCGTCTTGAGGTGGGTCTTTAAGGAAGGGGGCAAGATGGAGTGACCGCGGGATGGAGTTCCAGAAGGTGGATGCAGAGTGGGGCGAGCAAGGTGGGGGACGTGAAGAGCGGAGGGAGTGAACAGGGTGGTAAGTGGTTAGGAGGTCGAGAGGTAGGGGGAGCAAGACCATGGAGGGCTTTGAAGGTGAGGACAGGATCTTGAACTGTATCCTCTGTGTGATGGGAAGCCAGTGGAGTTGGGCGAGGATGGGGGTGACAGGTCACAGAGCCTGGTGCGGGAGAGGACACGGGCTGCAGAGTTCTGGATGATCTGCAGCCTGTGGAGGGAGGAGTCGGGAGGCCGACAATCAGTGAGTTCGCATAGTCGAGCGTGGATGTAATAAAGGTGTGTGTGAGGGTCTCGGTGGCCTGTGGTGTGAGACAGTGCCGGAGCCGGGCGATGTTGCGGAGGTGGGGAAGGCAGAGCGGGTCATGGTGCAGATGTGGGGTAGAAAGGATAATTGAGGGTCAAACAAGACCCCAAGGTTCTGGACCGGCTTAGCAAGGTGGAGTGTGCAACCATGGATGGTGATGCTGTCAGCGGCTGAGGTGAGGCGGCGCTGACGGGAGCCAATCAGGAGAGCCTCGGTCTTGTTGACGTTCAACTGAAAAAAGTTAGCTCTCATCCAGGACTTGATGTCTGACAGGACAGCAGTGGGTCCTGGAGTCGAGGGTGGAGGCAGAGATAGAGTTGGGTGTCATCCATGCATGTGGAAGTTGACCCCATGTCTGCGGATGATGTCAGCAAGAGGGAGCATATAGATGTTGAAGAGGAGGGGACCAAGGACAGAGCCCTGAGGAACGTCGCATAAGACAGTGTGGGGGCTAGAGGAGAAGCCATTTGAGGAGATGAAGTGAGAGTGTGAGAGGTACGATCCGAACCAATCAAGGACAGCGCCGTGGAGGTTGAGGTGAGAGGAGAGGCGGTGGATGAGGATAGAGTGGTCAACAGTGTTGAAAGCAGCGGAGAGGTCAAGAAGGATGAGGAGGCAGAGGAAGCCCTGTTCCCAGATGGACAGAATATCATTTGTCACTTTGACCAGGGCGGGTTCTGTGCTGTGGGTGGCACGGAAACCCAATTGGAGGGGTTTGTGAAGGGAGTGGCGGGAGAGGATGGAGCGAAGTTGAGAAGTAACAACTCGTTCCAGGACCTTGGAAAGGAAGGAGAGGTTGGAGGTGGGGCTGTAGGTAGGGAGTAGAGAAGGGCCCAGGGAGGATTTTTTTAAGGATAGGAGTGAATGGCAGCGTTTGTTAAAGGGGTGGGAACAGTACCAGAGGACAGGGAGAGGTAAGCAAGTTTTGTGCATTTGAATCAGGTTACCAAGTTTCAAATTTCTACGCTTGGAAACTAATTGGCGGCCAGAGAGCTCCAGCGTAAATAATAATAAAATCCATGACTGTTTGTGGGACGCTGCTGTGCGCAATTGGCTGCCGCTTTTCGCCCACAAAATATACAGTGAATTCACTTTACAGTAGATACTGTGAAGCACTTTGAGACGTCTCAACGAAGTGATAAGGCGCTATATCAAATGCAAGGATTATTATTATTATTTGACATAACTCGCGATGTCCTTACCAGGACTGGTGCTGTATTCCACCTGTACAGAGCCCGTCTCTGCAATGCTGGTCTTTCGCATAACTTTAATTGTATTATCGACAACAAATAATTTGTGGAGGATTTCCCATTCATTTGGCCAGATAAGAGCTACACTGTGCAAAGGAAGAATACAGGTTGTTGAATTTGGAAAGAACATAGAATCAAGATCTGAAAGTGAAAACAATATTAAACAGGAAGCACATCTAGACCCGACGAGCATGAATAAAGCTCTGTTGGTGAAAACATTTTACCCAAATCTTTACTGGTTCGGCAATGAAACCATGACCTTCTATGGCAATGCATTAGTTCCATTTTACACATCCCTTAACTTCTTCCAATTTGATCCTTTGTGTGAAGAAATATTTTGCAAACTCCACTTTTACTGGCTTACTCTAACTTTACGGTTGACTTTATGTCCCCTTGCCCTGCTTTCGCCAACCAGAGCAAAGTCGATCCCCATTTACTTTCTCAATACTCCATTATTCTGAGCACCTCAATCAAAGCACAACTCAACCACCTGAACTATGATGAATGTAAATAACCTTGATTGACTCAGTCTCTCACAGCTGGTGACAATGGAGGTTTGTGTGCAACCACACGCAGATGAGGAAATTGTGGTGACAGTGAAACTTTCTGAAAGTAAAGACAGAGCTCAAGACAATGTACGTGTACTATACATGTAATTCAAAAGTATTTCAAGTTTATTTCCTGCAAATTGAAATTGAACCAATTCATTCTCTCCCCACCCAATCCCTTTGTGGGCACTGCTGATTGACTTGCTGCATTTGTCAATATAACATCTAATTAAAATAGTATGTGCTTTAATTTAGTAATTTAGATTCTGTCTGTCTTGTGATTCAAGTGAACAATAATAACATTTATTAATTGTGTTATTAATTGAGGTTAATCCCCATCACTAATTTTTTTCCCTTCCGGTTACCCTGGTTCATATTCATCAAACATGTATCACAAAATTTTCAACGAATCAACTACTCACTTTATTGTTTATGGGGCTTCATTAGGCAAAGGTTAGCTGCCTCATTTGCCTACGTAACTTTCATTTCCTCTGTAATAAATTTTGTCCTGTACAATACTTGTAATGTTTTATTTTATGTTAAAGGCACTGACGTTCTTCAAATGGGACCCTAGCAATCTCCTATTTGCATGTGGAGGTTAACCAAACAAGAAAGAATTATTCTTTAGGACATTATTTATGCATTCCAAACACGTTTACTAGTATTTACCAAACAAGGCAAACACTTCAAATGAAGCTTTCACAGCATAGCAACCCCCCCAAAGGCAATATTAGATGAACGTGTGAGGGCAATTGTGGAATAAGACTCACTGTTTAGAATCCTCCTTCGTCATGGACTCGGCTGTGAACATGAGGCCTCCGTGAGGACAAAGCAGCGCATTGTTGCCCACTGATGATACAGGACTGCATTTCGTCGGCTTCCTTCAGCAAACAGAACCAAATCAAAGGATAGGGGAGAGATTTATAGTAATGCGCTGTACAATCAGCCTCTTTGCTTTCACATTTCAAACTGAAATGATTTCCAGGTTTCACTGGATGCTATTCCCTGATTAGATTTATGCCTCTTGCAAGGTGATTGGGTTCAGCCTCGGCAGGATCTCCCTCCTCTTGTGGCCCAAGGTATTATCACCCTGGGTTTACTTGGGTCTAGTTTTCCTTCGGCAAATGTGCGGATGTAAAAGCAGGCACAGAATCGTGGTAATGCACAAGGGAATTTAATGGACCGGCAAAGATTGCAGCAACAACAACTTTTATTTATACTGTGCCCTTCGCACAGAGTGACACCTTGGAGCACTTTACAGAAACAGGGATAGACACTGAGTTGGGGGGGAGAGAAGTAGAGGGTGATGTGGCCACAGGTGCATTTGGAGAGGTAGGATTTGAGGCGGGCCTTAAAAGACTGTAAGAGAGGGAGTGTTATACCCAAGTGATGGATGGGGGAGAGGGCCAGAGGTTAGGAGTGTATAAACTGAAGCTTGGCTGCCTTTCCCCCATTTCTACACCTCAGCATTATTCATTTAAGTTTGATATTGTTTATTATTAGTTTAATGTTTATTTCTCTTGTAGCCTTATTTAATAAACTAATTGCTTGACCAATGTTTATACAAACTGAGTGAAGTTTCAAATCAGATGTTGGTCAATGTCAAAACCCCCCAAAATCTAGCGAGTGGATGGGCAATTAACAGATGGAAAGAACTAAATTAACTGGTAAGCAAGTTAATGCGTTAACAAGAAAGCACACTCACTGCCAACTGGAGAATATGCACAGAGTGAAGCCTATATGTAGGAGGCTCTAGGACATTAGGATTCTTTCTGTGCAACTTCAAAGTCAAAGAAACAAAGCTCTATTCTTTTTCTCCTGTCCGGACGTCAAGGATAAACAAAATGCAGAACCTCTCAAAAGCTCACCGACCTTTAATGCAAGGTCAAAAATACAATTAAAAATAGTAATAAGAGAGACAACATAACAAGCAGAACAAAAAAGTCACCTGATAAACTTCTTCCATTCTTCAACAAAAAATTGTGAAACAATGTAGAGAACATCAGTCTCCTGCAAAACATACAGTAAAGAAGCTGTGAGCCTTGTGTGGATCAGACCATGATGCACTCACTTGTACCAATTCCTTGGACATTGTGAAGTGTGTGAGGAAACCCATTCCTAGTACAAATCACCTACCAATACACTTAGTGTCAGAATCTCATACCCCTCTCATGAAATCCAACTTTATACATAAACAACAGTTTGTATTCAAATAGACAGTCTCCTTATTGCTCTTTAATATGAATAAAACATGCTGGATCTATGCCAATGGAATGGCTCCATTGACTTTAAGCAAATTCCTCAATGCGTTGAACGTAAAAATTCCTGAGGGGCTAAACATATGAAAGAGCCTCACAAAACAAGTTACCCCACGGAAAGGAACATCTCTGATGTTTGGGGAGAAAAAAGATGACCAGAAAGTCACCCATTTAACAGGAATCCTTACTGTTATTCAACTAGAATTGAACAGTAGATTTCCATCAATATTTTTCATGCTGCTAGATTAGAAACAAAAACACAGATTTTCTTTTATAAAACGGACAGCAGAAATAATAATAATAATCTCTTTTTTTTTTACCTCAGGCCACTTGATGAGTATTGGTCGGTTCTTCTCCTGAAAGAGACAGAGCAGTGCCGACTTCTGCTCGTTCGCCATCATCTTGCTCAGAGTTTCGTTCTCCTCACCCTCCTTCTCTAATACCTTTGTCACAAAATAAAATACTCTGGTTAGATGTGCAGTCATTAGTTTGAAAGCGAATTCAACAGATAATTGAAGATAATCATAGAATCATTGAATTATACAGCACAGGAGCCCGTTTGGCCAATCATGTCGGTGCCGGCTCTTTGAAAAGAGCTATCCAAATCAACCCCGCTCCCCATAGCCCTGCAAACTTGTTCCTCCCCAAATAATTATCTACTTCTCTCTTAAAAGTTGTTATCGAATCGGCTTCCACCAGCCTTTCAGGCAATGCATTACAGATCCAGATTTCACTCCGTGTGAAAACATTTCTCATCTCCTCTGTTTCTGTTAACAACTATTTTAAATCGGTGTCCTCGGGTTACCGACCCACCCGCCAGTGGGAATAGTTTCTCCTTGTTCACCCTGTCGAATCCCCTCATAATTTTGAAAACTTCTATTAAGTCTCCGGAATAATGCCCTGGAGCCTGGAATAAGTAGTTCTTACCTGACACTGTACACAAGGCGAGTGATAGTGTGCAAATTCAGGTGACTTTGGGAAGTAAGCCTTTAGTCGCTTCCAGGTTTCCTCAGACACAAGTCGCCTTTCAGTTTCGGAGGTGCATAAGTCCCCTGTTATCACAAAAATGTGAATTATGACTCTGTGTGTGCATATTACAAGCTCAGCGCATGCCACTAACAATTACATTTGTGCTGTACAAACAGTATACAGTTCCAATGTACTACAATGAATCCCTTCAAAAAAAAAAAGTTGGTCATTCAACCCATGACTGTCTGTGGGACGCTGCTGTACACAATTGGCTGCCGCGTTTTGCCCACAAAACAGTCAATTCACTTTACAGTATATTCTGTGAAGCGCTTTGAGACGTCTCAACAACGTGATAAGGCGCTGTATCAAATGCAAGGATTATTACTATTTCTCAGAGCTGTACCATCTGTGTGTGGTTTCCATGTACCCTGAACCACTTGAGATTTAAAAGAGAACAGTTCTGACAGTCACATCCAGGTGAGATTCTTTGATTAGTAATGTGCCCTCAGACACACACTCACTCTAAGTTGCTCTATGAAGCCACTCTCACAAATGTGGATAATGGAGACATTTTGGAAAAGATTCCAGGATTAACCCAGAAGCCAGTGTTTGAGAAGCCTGGACCCGAGCCAGAAACACTCAAACTTGGAAAGGTTAGGTTCACAGCAGAAACTAGCAAGGAGCCAAGATCTAGATTCCTTTTGATTTGCTTATTTAACCTCTGCCCATCCAGGAGATATTCGCAAAGACCTTGTGTGTCTGACTGACGAGCAACAATCGTTCAGTGATTGTAGTCAGCTATGAACCAAAAGATAATATATCATATATATTTTTTATTTTTTCATTTCAGTTTTTGTTTCATTAAAAACTCCAAAACTTTGGTTTAACAGTATGCTTCTATGTGAAGAAATCGGGGATCATTAAAGAGCAGACACTCACCGTGTGGACAAACAAGGTCTTCATTGAAGTTCATGTCTTCATTGTCTTTTTCCCCAGTCATCTCATCATCTCCTTTAACAAACCCACAAGAGTAGTAGGAATAAAGCAATGCACACCCATAAAGAAACATAAATTCAAAAGATTCATGAAAGGGGCTGTCAAAGCTCCAGTCAGGGCCGAAGAGAACAGCGTTAAAGGGATAAGAAAAGGCTTTTCAGTCTTGAAGAGACATCTCTTTATGCCAGATTTAAAGTCTGTATATAAAGTCTGTCACTATATCGGGTGCTATAATAAAGGATGAAACTAATCACCTCAAGGAGTGTGTTATTAAAAGTAGCTAGAATGGATTATTGAAAATAAGGTCATGCCCAACCAACCTTATTGAACTAATAGCCAAAGTAGATGAGGGAATTGCAGTGGACATTTTGCAGATGGATTTCCAGAAGGTCTTTGATAACGTGCCACATAGGAGTCTCCCAGCAAAGATCAAGGCATGAGGCATCATAGGAAAGATAGCAGCTGATAAATTGCTAGAAAACAGGAGCAGCAAAAGGGCAACTTCTCTGACTGGCAAGAAGTAATGTTCCAAAGGCCCACTGTGGAATTAGGATCACTACTGTTCACTATACACAAATGATTTGGACCCAGATATAGTAGGTATGGTGTTGAAATTTGTAGACACCACCAAATTGAGGGTATGATAAATAATGAAGGGACTCCAAAAAGTAGAAAAACCTATGCTGACTTGCAGAAGGAATGCAGGCACTAAAAGAGAAATTAACTGAATAACAAACGCAGGAGGAAATAAATGTTTGGCCTGAGGTAGAACCAAGCCTAATGGTGAGTTACAAAGCTACCTTTGGCATGTAGGTTGTTGAGACCTTCCCCATTGCTCTTCCCATCAGCGAGGTCTGAATCGTCATCCTTCCCATCCAGCTGGTCTAAAGCCAGTTGGCGCCAGCTTCGGAGTGAAGTTTTTCCAACCCAGTATCCTTCAAGGCTGTAAAAATTAGGTCAAGCAAGTCAAGAACCGGTTGGACAAAGAAGAATATACAAAGAAAAATAAAAACAGAATTACTAACGCTTCGTATAATGTGTCCTAAATTAGATGCATCAAATGCGCTCCCAAGATTTGGTCATAAGATGACAAGAAGTGCTACCTTTGTAATGTGGTCCTTGTTAGATTAGAAATTATTTTGTAATCTTCATTTAATTGGTTCTTCAACCTAAGAATCCGACACTTCTCCATTACACAGTCTGCGCAGAGAGCAGAAGCTAAGGGAAAAAACAAATACTCAGTTAGAAAACAAGACTTGTCCATAAACCCTTGATCCTTTAATATATCCTCTACAGGACAGAAATCTCACTACTGCAATAGCAGCTGCAAAAAGCTACTTCTGAAAGATTTACTCAATTGCCTTCAAACTTAAAAAAAAATCTAAACTTTAAAAAGGCATTCAACATAACAGGATTTCCTTGGTAAAATAAAGGCAGGCAGAAATTATACTGACCACAAATGTAGACAAAGTTTAGAGATTAAGAATACAGATAACGTTGCATTAAACCCGGGCCCACATGTCAGCATGCAACAGCAGAGTGAAAAGGCCAGAAGTACACTGGAGACATAGCAGGAGCGCTTGCTGACTCGGGAATTAAGCAGTTAAAGATGCCGAGAATTCTTCGACATTGGACTTGCCCTCTCATTCATGAAGGTGGGTGGGTGTCAGAGGCTCTACCTGAAGTGAAGGAGAATTCTCACTGAAAGAGTGGCAAAGGAAGCCTGTATTATGGATTGTCGATTGCTCGAAGGAGTTACCTGGAGCTTCGATTCAGCCAGAATTCAGTGGCTACACTGATTGTCATACAAAAGTGCTTGACAACATTGCTGGTGAAACCAACCTTCACTGGGTTACAGTTTGGCTGTGGCCCAAGGATGATATTTATATGGAGCTGGCGACAATGAACAGTCAGTGAGGTCCACAGGGGTTAGACGGGACATTGCTTTAGCAGCCTCTAGAAACCTCGTAACCTGAAATGAAAGCTCCTGATGGCTGAGGTCAACTGAAATCTATTCTGAGTGGAACTGACTCCATCAATTGTGTTTCCTTCTCTGTTCAAGCTTTGTTGGCAGAAATATAGTGCAAATCAAAATGGACTTCTACAGATCTTCATTCTGGAAGCAGAAACTCCACTCCATATCCATCTCAAATGAAAGTGAAACCTCAATGGATTCCAAGCTATTTGTGGCTGCATCAAAGTGAACGAGTTGAAGCAGCTGCATATAAATCAGCTGTGCATTGGCTGAAGACTTTTTTTTATTCAATGTCTGCTGATACTGGTGTAATCACAGATTTCCATAGCTCGGTTGATGTGCCACTTGTGAAAAGGTTTTCTAGAAAAACTGGAATGCCACCCACCCTCCCCACTTTCCAGTCTGGTGACTGAAGCAGATCAAGAGAATTCTGAGGTTGGAGCCCATGTGGAATATGGGTTCGATTCCCGGCAGGTCGAAACCTTGTGCAAGTTTCCTTACTCCACACGCCTATTAATAATCCCTCAAGGGAAAAAAAACAATAATAAATTGGTCAATCCATGACTGTCTGTGGAACAGCAATTGGCTGCTGCGTTTCACCCACAAATATACAGCCGATTCACTTTACAGTATGTTCTATAAAGCGCTTTGAGACGTCTAGAAGACTTGATAAGGCGCTATTTCATATGTAAGGATTATTATTGTCTCTACTCAATTTCCTTTCAAACCTTGGGCTTTTGGAAGGAACCAGAATTCAAGACCGTTTGGTGCAAAGGATCAAAGGTGACCATTCCATTTGGAGGATTGCCCCTCAGACAGCTCTAAAGCCAGGCTCCTTTTTCTAAGGTTAGTTTTTGGTCACTGGGAAGCATCCATGACATATACTCCGTCTTACTCATGCAAGCTTTCATCGATAGGATATTGGTTCCCGAGCATTGGTCTCAGCCACCAACACTGAAAGCATCAAAGTAAGAAAATGTATGGAGTTGTGGTATCTGTGACTTGAATGTTGAAACTAAGAAAAGTTTTAAAACTCAAATAAAACATCCAAAATTCACTGATGCAATCCAGGTTTTTTACGCAACGGAATGAACTGCTGCACAGAGGCGATACAGATATGGGGGGGGAGAATTTAATTTATGTTAATTTTTACATTTGATATGGCGTCTTATGTCATTGAGACTTCTCAAAGCGTTTCACAAGATTTACTGTAAATCGCAGTGGCTAGACTTCTAGGTGAACGATTCAGCCAATCTGCACATAACAAGTTCCCACAAGCCATGAAATGAATAATTTTATCTGGTGAATTGCTGGCCAGGACACTGGGAGAAAATCCCTCCATTTTTCCAGATAGTGTCATGGGATCTTTAACGTCCAATTGAACAAGCAAACGAGAACCCGGTTTAACTGTCTCATCTGAGAAACGGGATCCCTGATGATGCAGTGCTCCTCCAGCACTGGACTGGTTTGTCAGTCCATTCTCCATTTGTCACTTAGGACTCTATTAATGCTGCAGATTATAAATCGGACTCCAGATTCCTGGTGTTGCTTTGGTTTCTTTGGTGCTGTCTCGGTTGCAGAAGTTTGCATTGCAGAGAAAGACTTCAAGTTGTAATGACAGCACGACAGTAGAAGCCACTTTAGCCGGACACCAGTTAAGCCCGTAAGGCGGGTACATCGATCAAAATGGCAAGCCCCAATTCTTTTGCATTCTTATCAGTTTTATATATGTCTGTTAATTTGGACAAAAACCCCACACAGCACTTTGGGACGTCCTCCCGACAGGAAAGGCGTTTAGGAGGGTAGGAGGAGTCAAATTGACTGACAGCTGGAGCTAACTGGCCCCCTTCCCAGCCAAAGGGAAGGGCAACGGGAGGGAGGTACCACCACCACCTACCGGGAGGCAAGGATAGGGAAAGCCAGACAAAACGGCCGACCCGGACGTGTCCATCTTAAGCAGCTTCCACTGTATTTACAGTAACCCCTCCCCTTATAAGATGGTAGGTTCGGGCGGAGGAGCCAATCTGCCTTACAGAAACGATCCTGCTTCAGGTCATGTATTTGTGCTTCAAAATGTGTCAGGCTTCAAAACCCGTTGCGCTAACACGTTTTGAAGAGAAACAATGGGAAAATCAAGCAAGATTTGAAGATTGATGATGGATTTGAATGGCACAATGTTAGAATTTAAAATTTTTAGGCAAGAAAAATATCACATGTTATACGTGAGCCTGTGTTATAATGGGGTTTTACTGTATTTGTATTTCTAGAATTTGAAAAGTTTGGAAAACTCGACTCACCGTCTAATCTGGGACCTCCCCCGTATCTCGCGTAGAAGATGTCTGCTGCTTTCTGGGAGATACGTTTGACATCGCAGATTTTATCAGGATTCAGGCCTCCATGTGCACACAGATTGCAAGAATTGTCAATCGGTTTGGTTACTGCGGAGTCATCCAGCCATTTCCGTAGCCAGTCCACAGGTACAAACTCATACAGCTCGTCTACAATAAAGCAAAGCAAATGCTTAGCCTGTGCTCCATATCTTATAGATATTTGACCAAAGCCTCTTTTAAGTGGTGTACTGAGAGGGTTCTCATTGCACTAATAAAGCTTGCAGCAGTCTCAGTCCTGGAAGGGCAGTTAATCAATCCACTAGTATTCACAACTATAACATTAGCTTTGAAACTCCACTTTGACTCAGTGCTTCTAGTCGACTTGATTCCTCTAACTTACTGTTTAACAGATGTTGTGCCTTTTGCCAATATAATCAATTGCTTAGGAACACCACTCCACAAACACTACAATCATATTTACCACCCTTTCCTTTTCACATGCCTTTCCGAATGTTTCTCAAAACAATTAAATCAAGTTTGTTCATGAGTTACATATTGATTGGAGGTAGCTGTCCAAACCAATAAAGCTTTTTGACCACGTTATGAACTTGTTTCAGGTCTGGATGAACATTGAAGCAATGTAATAATGAGCCAGGAAGAACACATTCCTCAGAAATTCTGCCCAACTCACAAAGAAAAACAGCACAATATCCACACATGCAAGTCCACCAAACTATACCGGATGCTTTCCAAATATAGTGCACAGAAATTATTAGTCAGTGGAGTTTTGTGTCACCTGCAGTTCCATTCCTAACCTCACATGACTGAGCTCTTTTTTTTTTGAAAGGCTCAATTGCCAGACTTAATTGTCTGTTCCACTTATTCACAATTCTGTTGGGAATTAAACGTTTAATCAGTCAAACTTGATATTTGGTATTTTTATTTCTGTGATCAGTCTCTCAATTAAACAGCCTGCTTACATTTCCATCTACACCTCCAGCATTTTATAACACTGCCCTCCCCAAGATTGGTCTCTCCCCAATCTTGTGTTCAATGAAAACCAGTTGAGCACTGCGTTGGAAATCCTCACGGTTGCCCTTCTCTAAACCTTGCCTGGAATACTGATGCCAATTTAAATGGAAGCAACATATTCTAAACCCAATCATCCAAATATAATCTCACCAACAATTTCTACAAGCCTGGAATAAAATATTTCAACTTAAAATGTGATTGAGATGTATCCCAGTACAGGATTAGCTTGAACAGTTTTGCAATGACCAGATCCTTTAGTGATCACACCCCAAATCCTTTTCCTTTGTTGTCTTTACTAGAGACCCTTTTGGCATCATGACTCACTGATTCTAAATCCACATTGCTCCTGACCACAATATAATGGGCACATTACTAGGCAAACCCAGCTATATTTACATGCAAATGTCCATCTAAGTCACTGCAGTGTTACTTGCCAGGTGCATTATAAAAATATTGACCACAAGAACACTGACAGATTTTTTTTCCAAATATATTTTATCATATGGGTACACACAGAAATTGAAAGCTGCAATGGCACTTGTTAAACTTACAGACCTTCTTTAGCTGGTAACATGTTAAAGAGCTCTTGCACCTCCTCATGCTTGGCCTTGCCTTTGTCCACACTCTGCTTCCGCATCTCAGCCATTTCCATGCACCACTCCTCAAACTTTTTGTTGTCGCGTTCAACCATTTTCTGTAAATGTGCTACAAGAAAGGAACAAGGCAGTTTAGTGCTGTGGCTCTGCTAATATACACACAAATAAAGCATCAACACAAATAAAGCATAAACCGGAAGCTCAGGATTGTGCTTGTGGACAGAACGGAGGTGTTTGACAAATCATTCGATAATAATAATTTTGTTTCAGACACACACACAAACATTTGCCAGTGTAAGATGAATTATCTTAACACAGAAAGAAGGCACTGTATATGTAGAAATACGATTTTGTCACCCTTTCCCTAATCTGATGTACACAATTGAAGTGGCAAAAACGAGTCTTTGTAGGGTTTATAATGAATGTTAATAAAAACAAAACATTCCTTTTCCTTCAAAGCTCAAAACTCTCAGCACCATCTCTCATGATCCCTTTTGTTCAAGCGTAAACAGCAAATGTCAGTGTTGACTATTTCAAAGGTGTCAAAATGCTTCTCTAGATCAATCTGCCAAGGCTGTGAGATGCTGAAGTATGCTGAGCAATAATCATAGAATTATACAGCACAGGAGGCCATTCGGCCCATCGTATCTGTGTCGGCTCTTTGAAAAGAGCTGTTCAAATCAATCCCACTCCCCCGCTCTCTCCCCATAGCCCTGCAAACTTGTCCTCCCCGGATAATTATCTACTTCTCTATTAAAAGTTGTTATTTAATGCATGTAAACGGGAATGTAATTGGAGCCATAGCTCACTAAGCAGTGCTAGTACACCAAGCAGTGCCTGCACTCAAAGGGTAATCAGTAAATGCTGCAGGAGCGTTTTATGGCTGATTCCTGAATCTGTAACTTTCCAACATTAGGTTTCAGTGCTTCAAAATGCTTACGGAAATATAGAATCTTTTCCCAATTTTAATTAACACCTGAACTTCATGTAAAAAATATTTGTAAAGGGAAAATAATCTTTCAGAGAATTTACCTGGGAGCTGAACACTAATATCCTTCTCTTTGCTCATTTCGCCTTTCCTCCTGTACACCAGCATGTAAGCATTCCTCGAACAATGAACGCCTTTAACACATTTGGGTTTTCGTGTCTGCGACTTCGAAGGCTCTGCTACATATGGGAAAAGAACAATACAAAACTAAAAGGCAGCAGAACCAAACTGGATACACAAGCACACTGAGAACACAAAGAGCAAAACTAATATTTACAGTAAGAACAACAACTTATAATAATAATCCTTGCATTTGATATAGCGCTTTTCACGTCGGGAGGACGTCCCAAAGCGCTTCACAGAACACACTGTAAAGTGAATTGACTGTATATTTGTGGGCGAACGCGGCAGCCAATTGCGCACAGCAATGTCCCACAAACAGTCGTGGATTGAAAATGACCAATTTATTATTGTTTTTGGTTTTGGAGGGATTATTATTAGGCTCTGTGTGGAGTAAGGAAACTTGCCCGAGGTTTCACCCTCTGCCTGGAATTGAACTCAGGTCTCTCACTTGCAAAGCGAGTGCTCTAACCACTGAGCTACAGGACTCCACCTGTAATCTTTCAGAGATAACTTGCACTTATAAGGCGCCCTCCTCGCAGGGCCCGACTCTGAGCGAGGGAGAGGGGGCCGTAAGCAAGGTCGAACAGGAACGTCTTCAGGCGGGGCACGAAAGAGGGGAGAGAGGGCAAGGCGAAGGGATTGAAGAAGTGTTCCAGAGTAATGGCCGAAAGTGCAACCTCCGATGGGGGGAGCAGAGAGTGTGAGGGACGAGCAGGAGGCTGGTGCCAGTCAAACTGAGGCGCCAGGGTTGAGGAGTGAGGAGGTCGGAGAGGTAGAGAGATGCCAGGGAGTGAATGGATTTTTGAACACGACAGTGAGGCTTGTGAAGTCGATCTGTTCGGTGATGGGGAGCCAGTGGAGCCTGGGCCAGAACTGGTGAGATGTGGGTATGAAATTTGGTCGAGTCAGTACGCGGGCGGCAGAGTTCTGAATGAATTGGATCTTTTGAATAGTGGAGCTGGGGAGACCGGCGAGGAGTGCGTTGGGAGTAATCCAGGTGGGAGGTGATAAACGCATGCACAAGAGTTTTGGCTGCATTTGGGGTAAGGTATGGTTGGAGGCGGGCAATGTTGAGGAGGTGGAAGAAAGCGGTCCTGGTCAGGGACCGGATGTGGGGGAGGGGGGGGGGGACAGTTGGGGGTCGAACTGGACACTGGAGTACAATTGGTTAGTAAATGAGTATTTTCACAGGCTAGCTTTCAGTGCTTTTATCACAATCCAAGTTATCTGCGTATAGTATTACATTAAGTTTCGTGAAACAGCATTCCAGTAAGGAATTTCAAAAATGAAACGAACAATGGGCCTAATTCTCTCCTATGTACAAGACTCAGGAATTGCTGGTAAATATACTTCCTCTTGCCTGCTTTTGAAAGCAGTGCAAAACTGCTTCATGTGAAGTCTGGTTAGTGAATGGATTTATTCGCTTGCAAATCACGAACACAGATAGCACTACACTTCAGTTGTGGATTAATTAAAGTTTGGAATGAATGTGCGTCATACATATAACCTGCCAGGGCTTTAACTTGTATTTAACTTGTATTTCATTAGGATAAGGTCACCCATGTGGATCGTTGGTAAGAACATTGATTCAGAGGATTGTTACGGTGTGGAATACATTACAAGTAGCTATTGAGGATGGAATGATAAAAACATTTAAAATGGAAATGGATGAGCATCTGAGTAGTAAAAAAAAACAAAGGGATATGGAAAGAACTACAAAGTTGGATTAATTTTTAAAAAAGCAACAGAAAAACAGGTTAAATGGGAACAAAGCAGAGAAACCTTTCGTTTAATATTTTTTACGGTTTTATGGTTAAATGCAACTACTTAAAAATGAGATTTGCCATGGAGTTTTAGCAGCACAGCTTCAATGTGTTGCTCCACAGACAACAACAAGATTGCATTTATAGAGCGCCTTTCACGTCGGGAGGACGTCCCAAGGCGCTGGACAGTTGGACCGGGACCCGAGCAGGGGGGAAATGGTCAAGGGGAGGGAGCGAGGAGGGGGTAGAGAGTCAAGAGGGGAGCTGAAGGCACAGTTGAAGAGCGTCAGCATGCTGTAAATGATGGGAGACCAATGTTCAAGAGGGAAAAGTTTCCCAAAGGAGTCACACACCACCAGGACAGAGCAGCATCAGCAGAGGGTGGGTGAATTTTGCCCAATTTTGAGAATGCTGCAGGGTGATAAAAGAGGGAGCAAGCAGCGAGAAGAAATCTCGTCTGAAAGAATTGGATAGTCAATATCAAACACACTGGCGACTTACCAAGATCTTCTTCTATCCCCAACTGGAGCTTCTTCCCTTCCATCTTCTCGATCTCCTCATCGTTAAATTTGTACCAGTCGCCGGTCCGGTCATCTCGTACGTGTGCAATATAATGGCCAGAGTAGGCGCTCACTCCTCTATGGATCAGCACTGCGCTCAGTTCATAAACAGTGCTGACATCTGGCAAACCCGACAAGGAGAAAGATAATACAAACGATAAAGACTCCCGATAGTAACGAGCAAACGTGTCTCATTTTCAACATAGTCCATGCTCTGGAATCTCCTGCATTATTCCTCCATAATGGACTATGTACCATTGCATTAAAATTACATTTGCTGGAAAATAAAACTACACAAAAACTCCAATGTGCTTTGAAGTTGCAATGTACGCTGGCTACATGGCGAGACAGCCTTGTACAATGGCTACAATGGGATTCGAACAATGAAAAGGTTAAGCAGAACGAAAGATGACCTCCGCTTCACATAATGCTACCTGCTATACATACCGTGGTCTCTCCTGATCCCAAAGCTGCTATGAAGTTACCATTTTGAGTTACGTTGCCAAATTGGGGAGTAGGGGGGTGAATAAAAAAAAACTTCCAGTGGAATGAAACAGATGAAAGATTATTTGCAATTGAGATTAAGAACACAGACCATTGTTTCAACGTGACTGTGAGTCCAGTGTTAAAGAGCCAGCTCTTACTTTCAATTCCTTCTCTAGGCAGACACCAATGACCCAAATTACCAAGGGAACGGGCCTGAATTTAGTCTGCTTTCATGAAACCTCAGCAAACACATCAATCACTTTTACTGCCTTCGCACTGCAAAACAATCTCATATTTTACTTTTAGTACTGTGTTTCCCTGTCCCACATGCAGACAAAAGTAGACTGTGGCAATTCTCGGGAAGGTTTCTGGCTAAGGCACTTGTGGTTTCCTGTTGAGACGAGCATTCAAACCGCTGACATCTCAATATCAATTTAATTCAGTGAAGCGCCAATCCTAAAGCTGAAGCCACAATATATTAATTAGCAGCAGTACCTTTTGATAAAATGAGCGCAGGAATTGTAGACGCAATAGTTACAAGAGAGATAACCCACCAAGTGGAAAGGGAAGTTGTTTTATTCATCTTCTTCCACAGTGGATAAAACATAACCAACAAAATGAAGATCTCGGATCATCTTAGTGTGCATTTAACTTGGATGTGTGTAATTCACTTGGACTTCAACAAAATAATTCCTTCTCTCAACTTATACAGTGCAAACATGCAATGAATGCCCAGAGACAGAGTCAGTATCTGTTACTCTTTTGCACAAAATTCATTTGGAAAATTAAAGCTAAAAACGTCAACTGACATTACCTATCTTTTTTCCTCATTTTTTCAACACTGTTCAAGTTCCAATTACAAAAGGGCCCCTTACCACAGCGCTCACCATCTCCTCTTTCCTCTCCCTCGACCACCCCTCCCCCGCCCCAAGTGTTTGTTCTTTGCACAAGGCTCTTGTTCTGATATTGCCGGACAGTTCTTTTGAAGTAGGTCTCATTGCATATGCCAAGATGCAGAGAAACAAAATTATAAAAGAAAATGAGTTCCGGGACAGAGAAAGTAACCAAGGGACAGGCAGACAAGCGAGAGCTTTGTCTGCGTTAAAGCACGAGCCAACACACAAGACTGAAGGTAGCCAGTATTCTATTTCCCAAGTTTGATATCGTCTTCCTTATTTTATGAATATTCTACTGCCTCCAGACACAAAACCAACATCCATTGGTAGGAGAAAACTATCTCAAGTGGTACCCTCGAAACCCAGGGGAGGGGAGACAGTGGTGGTGGTGGGGGGGGTGAGGGTGTGCATGTCTAAACAGCTAGGCAAGCACCATGGGCTGCCGACAAGTATCTCATGTAAGGAGCATAATTTTTTTTTGGGAGGTTTCTGTGAACTGTCTTGCCTTAGCAATGTAGGAGAGGGAGTGCCCCAACACTGGAGAGGGAGTTTGACAGTTACCTTCGTTGTCTCCATCGATCAATGAATGAGCCAGAAAGCTTGATCAGCTTCAGCATGCCTTGAACAAACGAGCTGCATTCCTCAAAGATCAGCCTCTTACATTTCTTTTCAGGATGCAAATATCTCTTGGCTTCAATGTAAGATTTGGTGAAATCCATGGATGTGGGTTCTAGTTGTTTTTTTCTTAAACTCTCTGGCTTGCACAGAACTTTTCCAGGGCCAGGCTTTTTAATACAAACCAGCTGTGACTATCTGTAGGGCAGGTTAGCTGATCCAACTAGACTTAAAATCCTTTCACAACTCACCGAATAGTGACTGAGCAACTTGTACTTAATAATAATAATCCTTGCATTTGTTATAGCGCCTTATTATGTTGTTGACACGTCTCAAAGTGCTTCAAAGAATATATTGTAAAGTGGAGTAATTGTATTTTATCATGGGCAAAATGCAGCAGCAAATTGCGCCCTTCATGCAATAAAACATCTAAAATGGAGTGGAAGCCCAAGCAAGTGGTAGGTATGGGAGGGTATAAAAAGGAGGTGGCCAAAGGCTTAGTCATGTTTTTTAGACAGGTTTTGAAAGCAGAGAGAGAAGGATTAAGATGGAGAGATTCAAGGATGCGTTCTCGAAAATGAGGCAAAGTAGCTCGCCCACCAAAAGTGGGGCGAAAGTTGTGCAATAGGCCACTGTTGGCAGAGACAAGTGAGTGGGCCGGGGAGTATGACCATCCGAGATCATAGTAGTTGGGTGGGACAAGGGCGTGAAAATACAATTGAAATTTAGAACAAAGATTTTAAAAGTCAAACCACTGGGAAAAGAGCCATAGAAAGATGAGGGTATTGTGCTTGTGGAGCCTGTTATGGGGCAGCAGAGGTTTAAATGATCTGGAGCTTGTGGAAGATTGAGCTAGAAATGCTAGCGTTGCAGAAATGAAGTGTGGAAGCAACGAAGGAGTATATGAGGATTTGGGCTGTGTTGGGGGTGACGTAGCCATGTTGTAGAGATGGAGAAAAGTAGCCAGTCAAGGACTGGATTGAAGGAGAAATGAGGTAAACAAAACATTAAAATTTAATACTGGCTCCATGAGCTGCAGTGAACGCCAGGGAAGCTGATGTAGTCAGCGCCACAGATGAGAATAGTCTGCAGCTTTGGTTTTGTTGATGTTTAGCTGACTTTTGCAAAAGATTTTTTGATGTCTGACAGGAAGTCTGTCACAATAGGAGAATAGACATTGTACACGGAATATCAAAAAATGAACAAATGAAGTAAGAAGAGACACTCTCTGGGTCTGTGGAATGTTCTGTGGAATATGTTAAGAACCAACCAAAAATTGGTGTGAGTTTGTGAAGATTGTTGTAGATTTCTAAAACGCAAGTATGCAACAGACACTGGAACTGAGATTATAGGCAGCGCCAATGGTTACGACAGTTTCTTCACAAAACCCAAATATCAAGGAAATCATTAAATTCTGGATGTGTCTCAAAATAATATGATAATAATCCTTGCATTTGATCATTTTTTTGAGGGGGGGAAATTTCAGACAGTGATCTACCAATCGAGAAACAAACAGGCTCCTACTTACTCTGAGGTAAACATTGACGTGTGGAGGAAGGAAAAATGAACAACAACTCGCATTTACATAGCGCCCTTTACACTGGTTGGCGTCTCAGAGCGCTTAACAGTGGCGGATCCTGATGCTGAGCTGGGTGTTAGGGTGGTGGAGGATTAGGGGGTGGCAAATGATGTGAAACTTCTGGGTTTTTGAGCCCAAGAGATTGTGCCACACAAGTTATCAATTAATTACTGATCCTCAACACAGACCTATGGTCAACAAGGTATGGCATAAGATGAGGTTTCTTTAGAAGAAGCCAATACCCAGCTTTGCACTCCAGGGCTGGATGTCAGATATTTTAAGAGCTAAGAGAATTTTAAATGAGTCCAACTGTTTCTCCTCAATTTGAAGGGTTAACGCTGAACACGACTCAGACAAGAGGTTTGACCAAGGATGGTCTTTACATGGACTTTAATGTGTTCCACATACAGACACACACAATTCTCTAATTTGGCAAGCTTCTGCTTACTGAAATTCAACAGGAGTATGACTCCAAAGTTTCTGAATTTGTCAAGATTGTTCAACATCATGAGTGTAAACTATGCACTTGTGTGACATTGGGCTACCCTTCACCAGTAAGCAATCTGAGCCACAAAATGGAAAGGCAGGTCTATTTAATGCTGAGGTACTCAACTCGCTAAAAGGTCCTTTATATTTTTGTTAAATGTTGTCAGAATTTTGAAATGCTAGAATCTTATCAATATGAAAAGTTCAGAATATTAGTCTCCATATCACTGGGTGGGTAAAGAATTTTCTCAAGCAAACAAATAATAATCTTTGCATTTGATGTCACGCCTCATCACGTCTTTGAGACGTCTTGAAGCTCTTCACAGAATTTACTATAGGTTTTGTGGGCAAAACACGGCAGTCAATTGCGCACAGCAGTGTCCCACAAACAGTCGTGGATTGAGTGACCAATTATTGTTCGTTTTTTTGAATGGATTATTTTCCCCGGAAAAGCAATCCGCCAATTGACTAACAACCGGGTTCCTACTTACTGCTAAATAAGCAGAGCCGTGTGGAGTAAGGAAACTTGACTAACATTTCGCCCTGTCTGGGAATCGAACCCAGGTCCTCTCGCTTGCGAGTTGAGTGCTCTTACCACTAAGCTATGGGATTCCTAAACATCTTAAAATGTTGATGTGGGTGAACAGGTGTTGGGAGTGGGTATTCCCATCAACAGTGTGTAGTTAAACAAGATCTGAATAGCCTCCATAAAAACAAGCGTCCTTTTCCCACACAACAGCTGGACTTGAACCGGCATTGTCACAATCAAAAGAGGGAAGGGACAGGGAAGGGAGGAAAGCAATTCCAGACAGAGTTAAGAGTCTAAAATTACTACGGATTTACATAGAAAATGATTTGAAATGCATTACCTTTCCTTTCAAGGTATGGACTTAGGTCTAAAACTTCAGGAAAGCTGATGTAAGAGTTCAGTTTTTTCTTGTGACCAGTTTGCCTGCAAAATTTAAATTGGATAAACTCAGTATTCAGGATTTGCAAAATAATAACTTGCATTTGATATAGCGCCTTTTAATAATAATAATAATCTTTGCATTTGATACAGCACCTTATCACGTCTTCGAGACGTCTCAAAGCGCTTCACATAATATACTGTAAGGTGAATTGACTATATTTTGTGAGTGAAATGCAGCAGCCAATTACGCACAACTATTACGCCAATTATTGTTGTTATTTTTTTGAAGGGAAAATTATTACCCCCGGAAAAGCCATCCACCAATCAACTAACAATTGGATTCCTACTTCTTGCTAGGAAAACACTGACGTGTGGAGAAAGGAAACGTTTCGCCGCCCCGCCCGGGACTCAAACCCAAGTGCTCTCGCTTGCAAGGCGAGTGCTCTAATCACTAAGCTACAGGACTCTTACAGGAGGATGTCTCAAAACGCTTCACGGGATTTAAGTGACTGTATATGTTACAGCTTTGTAAAATTCTGAAGGAATTTTTCTAAATGTATAATAAAAGGAAGTCAAGTAGTTAATGAAACAATTGAACATTTATTTACATTGTGTACATTAATTTAGTAAATGGGAAGGTAGTCCTAAAATGTCAGAACATGAAGCTTGTGAAAAGAGCCTTTGTATTAGCAAGATTTTAGGCTGCATTTGCAGAAAATGGTGGGCAAATCCAAATTGTTAATCAAACCAGAGACGGTTGAAAGCAGATAAGTTTCAACTATCTTCAGTTTTGTTCTCCTCATGTGTAACATCTAGTTCAACCTCCATATTCAAATGAATTAGCCACTGTCATCTAAACAAGGGAAAAGCCAATTGTAAAACTTCTTCATTTAAGCTTAGTGCCAGAGCACATCAAAATGTCTCAAAGTACTTCACAATCACTGTCAAACATAATCACTGGTTTCAGAGAGCTGGGAAAACTCAGCAGATCAGGCAGCATCTATGGAGAAAGAAAAGTGAGTCAACGTTTCCTGAGTCAACGTTTCGGATCCATGACCCTTCGTCAGAACTCCGTTCTAATCCTGCCCTGCTGACTTTTCCCAGTTCTCTCTGTTTTTGTTTCAGATTTTCAGCTTCTGCAATATTTTGTGTTTTAGTCACTAGGTTTTGCAGGCAATGAAAACAGCAACTGCACCAGAAGGTTCACAAGCAGCCATGATGTGAAATGATTAACCTGGAATCTGGAGTATTGGCCAGGAGACTAGGATAAACTCAGAAATTGTAGTTTGTCCCTTTTCTTTTCCAATGGTGTCACAGGATCTTTAAAGAGTTTGATACCGAATGCCTAGTGGACAGTTGCTTCTAAGATGGCATTAGTGTAAAGACCTCAAAGTTATTTCACAGGAATTCTTTTGAAGAAATACAAAGACCGAAGAGTTAATAGATATACCGATCAAGAAACACACACACAAACTCCAAGTACTCTAGGATAGAAGGGAACAAAGGAGATAACTAAAAAGGCTTACAAATTGAACTAAAATCAAAGAATGAGGAAGTCAAAACCAAAGACAAGTAATCCAACAATGCATGTCATTCATTCAACCTCCACATACATTAACACTGTAAAATCTCATGTGATTATACACTGATTGTCTCCTTGCCTAACTATCTGCATCAGAGCTCTGAAGAGGAGGAGGTGAAGAGGAGGAGATGAAGAGGAGCTGCAATGTCAGGAAATCATTTTTAGTTGTGCAACCAGATTTAGAATTTTGCCCGAGCAAGACTGTAAATGTGAACAGTAAGTGGAGAGATCTGATCCACATAAATACAGGATGAGCAAAACCGAGGCAGCGAGTGAGAACAAGACAAGCAGACAGCGAGTGAAAGGCAGAGGGAGAGAGACAGATAGTGTGAGACAGAAAAAAACAATACGAATGAGCGAGTAAGAAAATAGTTTGAAGACATCGGCTACAAACAAATATTGCTGTCAGCGTGAACTGTGCTCTTGCAAGCACCAAGGCAGGATATATAACATGGTCTGGCCTTAAGCTGAACAGGTTGGGGATCACTGTGGTAGACGTTCAACTAAATGGGCTACATATGCTTGTGTGATGGACAACAGCCTCACGTCACTATTATCAGACCAGGACGCTGCACCAGAACAACATATTGACGAGCAGCACAGGATTCTACAAGCAAGCTGAGGTCAAACATCATATTAGTCTTGTAATTATGAAGACAGTGGAGAGAGATGCCACAGGTGTCAGATACTTAAAAGTTGCTGTGCTACTTTATACAAACAGAAGCAGCTATGGACTGACAGCCCTAGCAGGGAGAACATCCTAAGACAACATCCGTAAAATAGTGTGCAAACAAACATTTAAGGTACTTCAACAGAGAACATCTTAAACCTTAAATCTGTATCCCTGAGACAACGGATTTGAGATCCGAGGCCCCAAATTCCTCATGGTCTGAGCCTAAAGACTGTCTTCTTTAGGCTCAGACCATGAGGAATTTGGGGGCTCTGGGGAATTTGGACTGCTCCCCCTTACCTCTGCGACCCCCTAACCGCCTACTCCCTGTTCGCTCCCTCCGCTCAGTTGGCTCCGGCCTGCTTCATGTCCACTGACTTGCCTGCCCAACCATTGGCGGGCGGGCCGTAGCCCCTCTGCCCCCACTCTCTGGAACTCCATCCCACAGTCCCTCTGCCCTGCCCCCTCCCTTGCCTCTTTCAAGACCCTCCTCTTCAACTGTGCCTTCGGTCACCCTCCTACCCTGAGTCTCCTTGCCTTCCACTCCTTCTGATTCCAACCACCAGCTCAGGTGTGGATCCTTAACTGTCCAGCACCTTGGGACGTACCCCTGACATGAAAGGCGCTGTACAAATGTAATTTATTGTTGATCCACGTTAAAATGAAAAGCTCAATTTCCAAATATTACAATAAAAATGGCTAGCGGGTGGACACATTTAAGATGATCTGAGTTAAAGGGACTTTGAAAAAATATCTTTGCGCAAAGGTTGCGTGGAATGCTCTGCCACAAAACAAAGTTGAGGGATTAACTCTTTGAAAACGGGAATTAAATAGATACAGATACTTAAACAGGAGGACTATTAAAAGCTATAGGGAGCAAACTGGAAAGTGAGATTAGATTATGGGGGGAAAAACAGCAGACTTAGACAAATTGGTTTACTTCTTCACTAAGATACTCCGGTATGGTATAAACCAGGGCCTGAGGTCAAATTTGAGAAATGGCCATAGGCCGCATAAACAGTAATTTTGTGCTTCCCTTCCAGAAACATTACTTAATTTCACTATACTTTAGTTACAATGCAAACTTTAAATAGGCAATGCAAAATTTCTAACAAATTTTAAAATAATACTTTTATCAAAAAAGTACAAATATTCAAGAATAATCATAAAATCTGGAGTAAACAACAAAAGTGAAAGAAATAAGTGAATTAAAAATGCATATAATTAATAGCCCTAATTTAGTTTTGGGGCGTAGTGGCTGACAGTGCAACCTCCGAAGTGGGGCAGAGGGTGAGAGGGACGAGTGGAGGTGCCAGGTGGTGGATTGGGGAGTGAGGAGGTCGGAGAGGTAGGGAGGTGCCAGGGAGTGAATGGATTTGAACACGAGATGTTGACAATGTGATAAGGTGCTACATCAAATGCAAGGATTATTATTATTATGGCTCCCGCTCCACCCCTCTTCCCATCACCTCAGCATGGAGGTGAGACAGCATAGAGACTAACCAGAACAGATACACAACCAGGAACTAAAACAATGAAGTTGCAAATGGATGAAAGCATCTCCCGAACCAGAGGCGTCCATGGACTCCCAGTTGGACCACCCTGGTGTAATCTCCTCTGGCAGCACTTAAAACAGTATCAGGTGCTTGGCTCGGAATACTTTCCCCATTAACAAAAATATTAGAAACATAAGAATTAGGAGTAGGAGTAGGCCATTCAACTCCTCGAGCCTGCCCCGCCATTCAATAAGACCGTGGATGATCTTCTAACCTAACTATCTGCCCGCCTTATCCCCATATCCCTTAATCCCTCTATCCTTTAGAAATCTATCAATCTCAATCTTGAATATAAGAACTAGGAGTAGGCCATTCGGCCCCTCGAGCCTGTGCCCCACCATTTGATAAGACCATGGCTGATCTTCAGACCTTACTCTAATTACCTGCCCTATCCCCATATCCCCTAAGCCCTCTATTTTTTAAAAAAATCTATCAGTCTCAGCCTTGAAGATGTTCAAGGACTGAGCATCTGCAGCCTTCCGGGGGAGAGAATTCCATACATTCACTACCCTCTGAGTGAAGAAGTGTTTCCTCAACTCTGTTTGAAAGGGCTGACCCTTATTCTTAAGACTGTGACCCCTAGTTATAGATTCTCCAACCAGGGAAACAGTCGCATGGCATCTACTCTGTCAAGACCCTCAAGAATCTTATAGGTTTCTATAAGATTACCTCTAATTCTTCTATATTCTAGAGAATATAGGCCTAGTTTACTCAACTTATCCTCATAGGTCAAGCCCCTCATTCCAGGAACTAACCTAGAGAGTCTACGCTGAACTCCCTCTAAGCAAGTGTGTCCTTTCTTAAATAGGGAGACCAAAACTGCACACAATACTCTAGGTGCGGTCTCACCAAGGCCTTATACAGTTGCAGCAAGACTTCCCTATTCTTGTATTCTAACCCTTTTGCAATAAACGCCAACATGGCATTAGCCTTCCTAGTTGCTGTACTTGCATATTACCTTTTTGTGACTGGTGTACAGGGACACCCAAATCCCTCTGAACACTAACATCATCTAGTCTCTCCCCCCTAGAAAATAATCTGTTTTTCAGTTTTTGCTACCTAGATGAATAACTTCAAACTTCCCCACATTATATTCCATCTGCCACCTTCTTGCTCACTCACCTAGCCTATCTTTATCCCTTTGCAATCTTTTTTGTGTCCTCCTCAGAGCTTACTCTCGCACCGAGCTTAGTACCATACGCAAATTTAGATATTTTAAGTTCTATGTCCTCGTCTAGATCATTGATATAGATTGTAAATAGTTGAGGCCCAAGCACTGATCCTTGTGGCACTCCACTAGTCAACATCTTGGCCATCTGAGAAGGACCCATTTATCCCTCCTCTTTGTTTTCTTCCCGTTAGCCACTCTTCGATCCATGCTAATATATTGCCTTTAATTCCATGGGCCCTAATCTTGTGTAGCAAAGTTTTATGTGTCACCTTGTCGAATGCCTTCTGAAAAATCTAAATATACTACATCTATTGGATCCCCCCTATCTAACCTGCTGGTTACATCTCCAAAAAACTCTAAAATATTTGTTAAGCGACTTCCCTTTTGTAAAGCCATGTTGACTTTGCCTAATCATGTTATGATTTTCTAAGTAACCCTCTACGACATCCCGAATTAAGGATTCTAGAATTTTCCCTAACAGTGACGTCAGACTGACCGGCCTACAGTTCCCCATCTTCTCTCTCCCACCCTTCTTAAATAGGGTGTTACGTTTGCAATCTTCCAATCAATGGGAACCGTTCCACAATCCAGAGAATTTTGGAAGATCAAAAACAAATCATCCACTATCTCAGCAGCCACCTCTTTAAAACCCGAGGATGCAGGCCATCAGGTCCAGGGGATTTGTCATTTTTCAAACCCAACAGTTTCCCTCGTACCAATTCTTTACTGATGTTAATTTCCCTAAGTTGCTCACTAACATTAGCTTCTTGGTTCCCCTCTATTTTTGATAAGTTTTCAGTGTCTTCTAAAGTGAAGACAGAAGCAAAGTATTTGTTTAATGTCTCTGCCATATCTTTATCCCCCATTATAATTCTTCCTGTCTCTGCCTGTAATGGACCCACATTCACTTTTGATAGTCTCTTCCTCTTTATGTATTTATAAAAACTCTTGCAGTCTGTCTTTATGTTCCTCGCTAGTTTGCCCTCATAATCCCTTTTCTCCCTCCTAATCAGTTTCTTAGTTTTTCTTTGCTGGTCTCTGAAGCCCTTCCAATCCTCAGGTTGGCAGTATTATAGGTCTCTTCTTTTAATTTTATACTTTCCCTAACTGCTCTAGTTAGCCATGGTTGAACCCTGTGGTATTTTTATTCCTCAAGGGAATATGTGATCGCTGGGAATTATGTACTACATCTCTAAAGATTTGCCATTGCTGGTCTACTGTTGCATCCTTTAATCTAATTCCCCAGACTATTTTAGCTAAATCCTCCCTCATACCTGCAAAGTTGGCTCTATTTAAATTTAAGAGCCTTGCTTCGGACTTAACTATATCACTCTCTAACTTAATGTTACATTCCATCATGTTATGGTCACTCTGCCCTCGAGGAGCCTTAACTTCCAGATTGCTGATTAGCCCTATTTCATTACACAAAACAAGATCTAGGATAGCCTGTTCCCTGGTTGGTTCCTCAGCAAACTGATCTAGGATACTATCTTTAATGCATTCTATAAAGTCCTCCTCTAATTTACTTTTGCCAATTTGGTTTTCCCACTCTATATGAAGATTAAAATCACCCACTATTAGTGTATTTCCTCTGCTACATGCTCCTCTACTTTCCTGGTTAATACTCTGCGCAATAATGTGACTGCTGTTCGGGGTCTATAAACTACTCCCACTAGCGTTTTCTGTCCCTTGTTATTTTGTAATTCCACCCATACTGACTCTACATCCTGATTTTCTGATTTAAAATCCTTCCTCTCTACTGTTGTTACCCCATCCTTTATTAGTGGGCTACCCCCACCCCCATCTCGTTTTCCACATTGCCTATCTTTCCTATATGCCAAATACCCCGGAATATTTAGCTCCCACCCTCAATCTCCCTGTAACCACATCTCAGTAAAGGCTACTGGATCATACCCGTTTGTTTCTGTTTGTGCCATTAATTCGTCTCTCTTACTACAAATGGTTCGTGCATTCAGATATAGCGCCTTTAATTTTGACTTCTTGCTATCTTCCCTACTCACTAATGGCCTATTTTCTTTGCTGAGTATCTTGTCCCTCCTTGACACACTCTGTTTATCTCCCTCGCTAATTTGCTCTACCACCTTCATCGTTCTTTAATTTTGCTGGTTTACTTCTAACTGTAACTCTAACCTCCCCCCCCCCCCGCCCGGTTTTCCAGCGTGAATATGCCCGATTTACTTAGTGGCTCCTCATAGTCCAGTCCTTCCGTTCCCTCAATCATTTTGGTTGCCCTTCTCTGTCTCTTCTCGATTTCTCCAATATCCTTTTTGTACTGCAGCGACCAGAACTGTACACAGTCTCTAAGTATAGTCTAACCAATGACATACTGCACAACTCTTCAATATGACTGGAGGAATGGACTGACGCAGTCAGATGTAGAGGGCTTCAGTCAATCCAATGCCACCATCCAACCCAGATACCAAAAATAATACAACATTAGTCACTGGGCATCGCTGACTCTGTTGGGACAAACATCTTGCAACAGCTTTCAAAAATGTAGAAAAGAACTAAGCTACTCAAAAAAAAACTAGCTAGAACCAAATCAAATGGACTTGAACATTCCATTGCCTACGAAGAAGAAAAAAGGGAGCACGACCAGAATGACAACCTAAATGCTGTATTACCGTTAGAAGATTTGTCCGACAAGTTTGTGGAACCAAACTCTTTAGATGACAGAATCCCAATACTTTTACACCCATTTGGAAGACAGACAGCTTTTTTTTTATTAATAAGGAGGTTGAACTAATGGACAAGTGTGGACATATTGTGTGCAGCTGAATTAAATTGCTCCAAATAATAAAAAGCAATATTTCTACCAATTCCTTTTAAATTCTGGTTATGTGAATTGGGAAACCAGAAACTAATGAAAGGAACATTTAGCCAGTCCAGACCAGTCAGTCAGACTGGCTCAGGACAATTAAGACTGTCCTTTTTCAATAACAAACCGTTTTATCACTTGACTTCCTGCTGAACCTGCAATTGATTCAATTCCCCCTTTCTAAATCTTCAACTGAGCAACTGTTTAGTTTGCAAAGCAGCAGTCGATTCCATGAGTTTAAAGTGTGAAGAAATTAATTTTTGTCTTTAAGTTTAAATAGACTGAAAGACAGAACTAATTGCAATACACCAAGCACTAAATTTTAATGTCTCTTTCCACGTAAAGCTTCAAACGTAATGGGGATTCGCTAAACAGTAACTCCTGTGGTAGTGAATTGAGTCACAGGATGTGCAGGAACTGTATTCCAACAACTTTGGAAAGAGATTGAGCCAATCCTGCAGGGCAGGACTTCATGTTATAAACAGGAATCATTACTTGTAGTTATTTGGATTGTGTCTGCTCGTTACTTTCCAAGTGTTTCTTTCAAAATTTAAGGTGAATTAACCTGACTGCTATGTCTGACACATAAATACAATGTTTTTGTTCAACACCTCATCTCATTTAACTGTAATATCTATCTAATTGTCAGATAAAGCAGACAGATTAATTCACACGTTGCAAGTTTGAGGCGCATTCTCTCCCACAATAGATCTATTATTAGTATGTCATCTCAAGTGCACTTAAATTCTTGAGTTTTATGAATTTGAAATAACAATTAACAATTTGCCTTTATTACTGACATTTTTTATTCAAGATATTTTACTGCAGTTTTTAGTTTATACAGGCAGCAAGGAACCAAACTGTGACTGAACATACACCTCAGTAACACCTATAATCTGAAAGCCAAGTACAAATAGCATACACTTACTAACAATGGCGCCAGCAGAGAAAGATGACTGACCTGTCAAAGACGAACCTCAATAGTTGCAGATTGAGAGTGCGTGGAAGGTTAAGCAATTTAATTTTTCTGGTGGCATTCTGCTTGTCCTGACATTTATCACAAAAATACCTGTTATCTCCTTCAAGTTTTTCTTCCTGAAGTAAAATTAAGACAAGTATAAGTGGATTAAAAATACAAAGTAAATCCAACATGTAAGAATTTGATGCTACAAACGATAATAATGGGGCCATTTCTGAGTTGCGACATTCTATTATTCTTTAAAAGTTTCCTTTAACAGAAAATCTTTGCTAGGTTTCTATTTCAGAAATCAATGAAAATGTGATCGAGTTAAGAACTGGTCACCAAAGTCTCAAACATTGTGATAAGCCTCATGGATTGGCTGAAAGAGGTGCAAACTAGTTGGAACAATTTTAATACCTTTTGAAAGAAAAGTTCAGTGAAAAGTGAGGAAAATGAGGATCTCAAGGCAACAGAGTTGAGCCCAAAGAGGGCTATAAACTAAAGCATCTGGCTAGAAGAATTCTAACTAGGTTTTCTCAGAACTTTAGTTTAGTTACCTTCAGAAATTCTTCAATGCAATCTGTTAGTTGTTTGTGTCCTTGAATATTTAATTCCAGCTCATAAAATCGGGATAACAACTTAGACTCCCAGCCACATTGATTACATCTGAAATTAAAAACAAATATTCCTAATTAACCCAAGTAAGAAGAAAACTATTTCCTTAAAGACACGTCCACCAGCATGTAAATCACAGCTGTGGAATTACATCCTCAACAAAGGCTTACTCTGGATTCAAGGCAACATATTGAGATTCTGCACCTTTAGGAGTCTATCCAGGTCAGTAGGAATTCCAGATTCTTGGTCATCAGCAACAATGTCTCTTAAGGTTTTTTTTCTTTATTCAGATTATATACTTTCCTTGAACAATAACATTTCTATAGTATCTTTCGCATAAAAGAAACATTCAAAGCAATTCACAGAATGAGATTAATTAGAAAATAGAGCGAATGTTAAGGAGGCAAATGCAACAGCCAATATGTGCCACGAATACGCCAGAAAGAACAAGATCAGTAGCCAATTACAGGGCACCTGAGTTAAGAGCCTTGCTAGAGTGTGGACTTGCTTTTAACAAAGGTGTTCTGTGCATCTGCAATTACCTGAAGGGGAGTGCACTTATGCTACAGACAAGCCAGCTTCATGGGTTAAAATAACATGAACAGCTTTGGGTTAGCAGATCACCAGCACACTGCTCCTGTGTGCTGTACAATGGGGGCTGTCACTTAGCAAAGGAAGTTTGAATTTCGGGAAATTTGGAGGAGGAGGGAATAGAAACCATTAGACTTGATGCAGACATGCAGCAATTGTAACGTTTATCTTACAGTTCATTTACTTTTGTTGCACTGATAAAGTTCATACTATTTCATATAACCATGTGAAGTCGCACTTTCACAAGAAAGGAACAGCATTGCAGTTAAATAGAGAGTTGAACACTTTTGAGATGCGGTAAAAAACTTTGACCCATTCGAATGATTCCAACATATTGAAGTTTCTTGTTAAATGCAACTGCTCACTACATACCTAACAAGAAGTTCTAAACTGAACTTGGCATTGTAAATACTAGCAAAGCTGCTCAACAACAATCTGCACTTAAAAAAGTCTTTGATGTGGGACGATGTCTTGTTGTGGTCAAGAGACAGAATGGGAACTAGAGTAAGATGGAAAATATTTGGGGGGGAAGAGAAGGGAGAAACTGTAGGAGGAAGGTGCGTTTTTAGAAAGGGTTTTGAACTCAGAGAAGGAAAGATTTGCGGAGATAGTTCCAGATAATGGGCAAAATGGCTGAAAGCTCCTTTGCCAATGGTAAGGTAGAGGAGCAGTGGATGTACAGCAGGCCCAAGTTAGCAGGAGTTTGCATGGGTAGTTCCAACTCCTAATAGATAATATAAGCATGAATTATAAAATATCTCACTTTAATAAATCACTCCTGTTTCTGATACTATAAAATATGCAGATTGTGTAGTTTTAATGCTAACTAAGAACTTTTCACAACTGAAAAGGCCAACGTTTAAGAGAAACTTCAGAGAAAATCTGCCTTAATTATTGAAAATGTAACACATTACAATTACAAATTGAATTAATTAGCAGAGTAGAATTGTATTACTTAAGTACATATGAGGTTTCAGCACAGAATTCAGTGTTGGAACTAGTTGATGATCTGTGCTGTTTCTGGGCTTCTGGTCAAAAGAGGATTATTTCTACACAAACAGTCCAATAAATACCTAAACTGTGGACAGCAGTGGAATTGCACATGTTCACCCCTACAATCTAGATAAACACAATGTTCCCAGTACCAAGGAGTCAAACTATAAATTAATCTCAACGTTCACCAGATCAACAAGTCACCAGTTTCAGGTTTTCCATGTCTTTCCCTTTGTACAATTTAAAAAGTACGCCATCATATAGTCAGGCTCAAATCCCAGTATAGTGGGATGGAGGCAAAGGAGAAGCAATATATTTATGAAGGTGCTGTCCTTCTGCTCAGATATTAAACCAAGATCGCTTACAATTTGTTCGCCTACAGTCACTACATTTCAGTAAAATCATGTGAAGCACTTTAGAGACATCTCAATGACAATGTTGCATCAAATGCAAGAATTATATTATTATTATATTCTGTCTACTCCTCTTCAGGTATACATTAAGGACTTCAAAATGAGAAGAATTTCTTCCAGTGCTCTGCCAATAATCCTCACGGGCATTTGCGTTGATAGAACCTTGCTGTCCGCAAACTGGCTGCTGTTTTTGCCTATAGGTAGTCACGACATTTAATACCAATTGCTTGTGAAGTGCTTTGAGACTTTCCAATGTTATAGGCCCAAACCAAGTACAAGGATTATTACACCGATAATTACAAGACAAGCGATGTGCAGCTTCAGGTTCCAGCACTCACACTGTCACGTAGGCGTACTGTCCGCAAAACTGTTGCTGAATAATATTCTGTACATCAGGATTGTTCTGTTTCGAAAGGGTATCTTCCAGCAGTGACATAAAAAGCTTGGAGAACTCCTGAGCATCCTGCAAGACACAAGAACATGAGAAAGTCTGGAAAAGGGCATTTAGTCTGGTGTGCAGAACAAGGCAAAGAAATCTAACCCAACTGTGAATTCTACCCCTGGTGAAAGCTTCTGTAAAATACACCGTAAACTCTGGCCTTCTTTCTCTCACAGGCACAGGAGCCCCCCTCCAACAACAAGGTTACATTTGTATAGCGCCTTTCACTCGGGATGACGTCCCAAGACGCTGGACAGCATTTCAGACCCGAACGTTAAATGGAATAAGTATTTTGTCTGGGGTTCGGACCTATCTTTGTATATTACTGGCCCACAGCTGCACACCTCCAATATGTCTATCCGAACAGAAAATTTAAGACAAGCAGTTTCAGAAAATCTTCCTGCAGGATAGTGAACACACATCCTACAGGACCAGAAAACGGTGTAGCACTGACTGCTTCCATTGATTGAGATTATTTTCCTCCGAGAAGGAATATAACCATATAACTTGCATTTATACAGCACCCTTCACGCAGAACGCTTGAGAGCTCTACACCCAGCCAGGTGAGAGGGAGGTGACTGTAGGTACATTCGCTTCAGGCGTGACCTGAAGATGGGGAAGGAAGGGTGAGGCAGAGGGAATAGAGGAAGAATGATCCAGAGTTTCGGGGCTTAGTGGCTGAAAGCGCAGCCACCAATGCAGGAATGGAGGGCACGAGGGTCTGCAGAAGGCTGGAGCCAGTTGAGTGGCAGTAGCGGGTTGGGGGTAACCAGCTCGGAGAGGTAGGGAAGGTGCCACGGCATGAAGGGTTTTGAAAACGAGTGTGAGGATCTCAAAATTGATCCGTTCAGCGATAGGGATCCAGTGGAGCCTATCTAGAACTGGTGTGATAGGGGTACAGAGTTTAGTGCGGGTGAATAGGCAGCAGCAAAGTTTGGGACCAGCTGGATCCTATGCATGGTGGAGCTGGGGAAACCGACAAAGAGGGCATTTGAAAAGTCGAGTCGGGAGGTCACGAACGCATGGACGAGTGTTTTGGCTGCGTCTGGGGTAAGGTACAGTCAGAGGTTGGCAATGAGGTGGAGGAAGGCAGTCCTGGTCAGGGACTAAATGTGGGGAAGGAACGAGAGCTGTGGATCTGATTGCCCAGATTGTCTGAGAGATGGGCTGGGGCGATTGAAGAGGTCAGAGCCGCAGGATGGAAGGCAGGAACCAACGAGAGTAGCTTCTATCTTGTCAGCATTTAGTTGTAGGAAATTTTCGCTCATCCAGGTCCTGATGTCGGCCAAACAAGCCGAGACTGGCAGACCTGGAGTCGCAGTTGGAGAAGTAGATTGTGTGTCATCCGCATACATGTGGACATTTACCAACGCCGAGAGGGAGCGTGTAGATATGGAAGAGGAGGGGGCCAAGCATGGATCCCTGTGGTACACTACAGGTAACTGGGCGGGAGGAGAAACCATTTTTGAAGATATAAAGTGAAGGCGGTTTGCAGTGCCAGTGCAGTCCCACTGAGGTGGACGAGGTGGTGGATGAGGATGGTGTGGTCGACACTGTCATACGAGGAGGAGTGGTCCAGGAGGATGAGGAGGCATAGAGAGCCCTGGTCACAGAGAGAGGACGTCATTTGTGACCTTGACCAGATGTGCTGTGGGCAGGGCGGAAACCAGACTGGAGAGGCTCAAGGAGGGAGTGGAGGGAGAGGTGAGAACAAAGGTGGTTAGCGACAATGCGTTCCAGAGCTTTGGCAAGGAAGGGTAGGTTGGAAATTTGTGAGGTTGGACATGTCAAGGGTGTTTTTTTTTTTTAGGAGTGGTTTTAAGGGGGAGAGGAAGAGAACCTGAGGAGAGTGACTGGTTAACCGTGTTGGCCATCAGCGTGGGGGAGGAGGGGGAGTTTGGTGGCCAGCAACAAGATGGGGAGGGGATCGAGGCAACAGTGGTGGGCTTCATCTGGGAGATGGTGGTTGAGAGGGAGTGATAGTAATCGGGGCAAAGGAGTGTAGCGAGGAGGGAGTGGCCGGAGCCATGGAGGAAGGAGGGGGTGGTATAGATGGTCTGGGTGCGGAAGGGGATGTAGGGGAGGAGGATGCAGGAGAGGGAGATGGGGAAAGGTCTGAGATGGCCTTTTCTGTGATGGACTGAGATGTCAAGGCCGTGAGTGATAGAGGTAGACGGTGGCCACCGTTGCTGGTTGGGGAGTGTATGTGGAGGGTGATGTTTAGTGTGGAGAGGAGGGCAGTGAAGTCAGAGGAGATGAGGCAAGAGGAGTTTAGATGAAGGTTGAAATCACCCATTACGATCAGATGTTCAGATAGGGAGGATTTTACCCGCTGGGGGAGAATTGGCCGTGGGGGGAGCTTGGAAGGATAAGGGGAGGCAGGTGTGTCGAGGAGAGTGGGCGATGGGGAGGTTGGGTTAGCTGCTTTGGGACAACCATCTCCGAGAGGCACAATGAGCCTGGCGGAGGATACCCAGGTTGGAGCAGAAGGAGGCAGTGATGAGGTGCAGGAGAGAGAAGGCGAGGAGAGCGGTGGGAAAGAAGGACTGATTTGGAGTAGTGGAGTGTGGGGAGTACAAGGTGCAGCATTTTCGGGGGGGGAGGCGCTCGGGGTGGCAGCCAAAACTCGCACGTGGAGACTGGTAGCAGGCGTTTAGAAGGACATGGTCAGCCCTGGGGTATTGCAGTCGCTGGAGGCTAGAGGAGACAGTGTAGTGGGGAGAGAAGGAAGAGGGCACTCAAAGTGTTAGTTACCAGGTTGCCCGAGAGAGAACAGGAAGGGAAGGAGATGTAAAACCATACCTGACCTGAGTTTGAACTGGCCGCTGTCCTCTCCCGCACCAAACTCCGTGACCCCATCTCCCCCATTCTCGTCTGACTCCATTGGCTCCCTATCCTTCAAAGGATCCAGTTCAAGATCCTAGTACTCACCTACATGGCCTCGCCCCACCTCTGCGACCTCCTAACCCCCTACCAACCCACCTGCTCCCTCCGCTCAGCCAGCTCCGGCCTGCTCCACATCCCTCGCCCCGACCCGCCTCACCACTGGCGAGAGAGGCTTCAGCCACTCTGCCCCCAACCTCTGGAATTCCATCCCCCAATCACTCCGCCTCACCCCCTCCTTAGCCTCCTTCAAGTCCCGTATCAAAGTGATCCAAGTGCATCAAATTTAGTTTAACTGGATTAAACAACTGGACCAGATCTGAGGGCTGACGCGAGCTTACCTGTTGCTGTCCTGTATCCAAACCCAATGCTTTGACAAAGCCAGAAGGATCAATATAGCGCCGATTACTACTCTGTAGCAAAGCAAATAAATACTGAAGGTGCTCACAGACAGACTGTGGTTCGAAGTCTGCAGTAAAAAACACAAACATTAAATATTAGTCAGGCTTTCAGGTTATCTGCCCTCACTCTCAGAAACTCCACCCCAGCATCCCTTCAAGATCTGCCTCAAGACTTTCCTCTTTGCACATGCTTCCGGTTATCTTTCTGCCCCCACCCACCCCAACTTGTGACTGTCCAGCACCTTGGCATGCCCTCCCAACATGAAAGGCACTATATAACTGTAAATTTGTTGCTGTATTAGTTTGTTCTAGAAGGTCTTATATTCAGATTTGCTATAAAACAGCACACGACGAATAGCAAAAAAATTACTTCCAAATTACAAATGAATAAGATTGTTATCAAAATTATGCACAAACTTAAATTTTAAGACACATGATCATGCCTCTACCAGCTTTCCTGAAGTACCACTAAAATATTGACAAATGCAAATGCAAGGATAATTATTGATATTATTAATAATATTTCAGGCCTGATACACACCTGCATCGTCTTCAATCCTTTCTCCGGTCCCCATCTCCTTGCGAGGGCTATGGCAGAGGTATAGTGCTTGTCTCAACTCAAGGTTATGGAACCAAACCTGTAGCAAAGTGTTGACGTAGCAAGTAGCCCCAAGGTTTGTCAGTCCTACAAAGGTATTCTTAACAAAAAAAAGAAAGTATTGCACATATTTCGCATGGGAGATGATACTTCAGTTTTTAGAAAACTTAGCATCCTGCTAAATTAGGCACTGCATGCCGCCCAAGGTTCATGAAATCCAGCTACATTTGCGCTGTAATTAGCCAGATTCCCTTGTCACAGCTTTCCATATACGAATAATAACTTCAATTGAATGTGTTGGATTCCCTCGAGGAGATCATCAGATATGTGAGAAATCAAAGAACTTTGACTAACATCTTGTAAAGATTGTAAAGAAAAAGATTTGCATTTACGGTACACACAGCATGCCAATGTTTTCATATAGGCAGATGTTTTTCCGTAACATATGCACAATTTTGTGTTAATGTACATCCATAGATCACATCACAATTTGATCAAAACAATCCAGAACTCAGCAGATTATTTTGTGCAAATTGCATGAAGAGTTTAGTTTGTCCAAACTACAAAGTTACAGAGTTGTTAGAAAGCGATTTGTAAAATACAGCGCATGCCCCACCTTGCATCTCCTTTCTGAGTTGGGATCATCGATGTTGTGGAAGCTATTCTCATCGATTTCTCCTAGCCACACGTGCTCACCAAGACCAACTAAGCAATTTGGGTTTCCTCTGCAGTTCCGTCTGCATCGCGAGATTAATAAAGAAAAACAATAATATCAAAACTTGTGCAAGCAACACTCTTCAGGTTCTTGCAGACAATGCAAATTTTGCACCATATTTGGATACCGTGTTGTTTGCTATTAACTTTTTTTGATTGTAACTATCACCAATTAAATGCTTTTGTTCAGCCTTCTGAATGACTCGGTCATTAAATTTACTAAATGAAAACGTTCAGCGTTCCTTCGTCAATTGGTGAAATGAGGTCACCACTCCTGGCCTCAGGAGCTCCTAGTTTGGAGCCAGAGTAAATAGGTTATAATAATAACAATCCTTGCATTTGATATAGCGCTGTATCACGTCATTGAGACGTCTCAAAGCACTTCACGGAATATACTGTAAAATGAATGAACAGTGTATTTAGTGGATGAAACACGGCAATCAATTGCACACAGCCTTGTCCCACACTACCTCCGGAAAGCAATCAGACAATCGACTAATAACCGGGTTGCTTTTTACTACCAGGTAAACAGAGGCGTATGGAGTAAGTAATTTTGCCTAACGTTTTGCCCAGCCACCGAATCAAGATTGCATAAAGGCCTGGGTGCTCTGGCTTGCGAGGCGAGCGAGTTATACTACACTACCAGATTCCGTAAAAGGTTCCCATTTAATAACCATAATGACCGTGGGGTCCTGTAGCTCAGTGGTTAGAGCACTCGCCTCGCAGGCGAAAGACCTGAATTTGATTCCCAGGTAGGGCAATATTACGGCAAGTTTTGCTTACTCCACACGCCTCTGTTTCCTTAGTAGTAAGTAGGAATCCAGTTGTTAGTCGATTGGTGGATTGCTTTTCTGGGGGTAATAATTCCTTCAGAAAAAAAAATGTGGTCACTCAATCCACGACTGTTTGTGGGACACTGCCTGTTGCGCAATTGCTGCTGCGTTTCACCCATAAAATATACAGTCAAAAGATCACTATACAATCAATTCTGTGAAGTGTTTTGAGACATCTTGAAGACATGATAAGGTGCTATATCAAATACAAGGATTATTATTATTATAGCAGTCAGGCTGGTAGTCTAGATTTTGGGCAAGGATTGGATCAGGCTTGGTTGTAATGACCTATTCTTTTCTTGCAACCCCTCTCCTCTCACAATCAACTAATCTGTCAAACACACATGAGGAATTAATGCTGGGACAAGATACCAAAGGACCATCATCACCCAAAACACATTGCTAAGATTTGAAACCAGCAACCTGGAAGGCAACACACTGCTCAGAGACGGAGAAGGATGCCAACAACAATCTCAATCAACGGATAGGAATAGTTTAAAATGAAACAACTGATCTTTTCCTTAACATCATCCCAGTTTCAGACAGTGAGGAGAATGAATTGGACAAAAGCTGATGCCAATACTACTTTCCAGCCAATCTCAACAGGTGTGAGAAAGCAGTCAAGGGTCACAGGAGTAAGTGTGTCTTTGCCCTCTTCCCCCTTCACTTCCACAGACTAAATGCACTTCATCAATTGAAAAAATTGCAGAAGCATCAGATAGGCAATTAAACCAGCAGTGCTTAAAATTACTTGATTTTAAAAACTGATGCACTAAACCACAACATTTGCCAGGTACCAAACTCAAGGCATCCTGTGTTTACCAACTACTGAGATTATAAATTATTACGTCCCTTTAGCTGAACTTGGCAAACGCACCTTGTACAAGTGGGTTGTTAAATGAAATCTGCACATCAAACAACTAAGCTTGTGCCTCACAGCCAGGCATGCCTGCTAATTAACTAACATCTGACCAGCAGAACTTGGTGTGAACATACAGTCGTGCTATTTCAGTTAACATAGTAACATGACAAAACTGCTAGCTACTCTATCTCTACTCTGGAATGTGATAACAGCCAAGTATGACTGAAGGGGGAAAAGAGAGGGAGGGTGTGTGCGTATAATGAATAAAATCCATCTCTTTCACACAATAAATTATATTTGTATAGCGTCTTTCACAAAAAATGCATTTTTTTACAATTTATCATTATATCATTATTTATTCTTAATGAAATGCGTTGTGGAGTCTTGCAGCTCAGTGGGTAGAGCTCTTGTGAGAGACCTGGGTTCGATTCCTGGGCAGGGTACAATGTTGGGCAAGTTTCCTTACTCCACATGCCTCTGTTTACCGAGCAGTAAGTAGGAACCCAGGTGCTAGTAGATTGGCGGATAGCTTTTCTGGGGGTAATAATTCCTTCAAAAAAATAACAATAATTAATAATAAATAAATCACTCAATCCATGACTGTTTGTGGGATACTGCTGTGCGCAATTGGCTGCCGTGTTTCGCCCACAAAATACAAACAGTCAATCCATTTTCCAGTGTATTCTGTGAAGCGCTTTGAGACGTCCAGAAGACGTGATAAGGCGCCGTATAAATCACAGAATCATAGAATTATACAGCACAGAAAGAGGCCATTCGGCCCATCATGTCTGTGCGGTTCTTTGCAAAGAGCTTCCAAATCAACCCCACTCCCCCGCTCTCTCCCCATAGCCCTGATCAACCGCACTCCCCCGCTCTCTCCCCATAGCACTGATCAACCCCACTCTCTCCCCATAGCCCTGATCAACCCCACTCCCCCACTCTCTCCCCATAGCACTGATCAACCCCACTCCCCCGCTCTCTCCCCATTGCGCTGCAAACCATAGTCCTCCCCAAATAATTATCTACTTCTCTCTTAAAAGTTGTTAATGTATCGGTTTCCACCGGCCTTTCAGGCAAGGAAATCATCAAACCCAAGGATTAAAGGCAAAGATTCATATTATTATTATTTGCTGAGTAAATAAAGGGAGGAGGAGGAGGGTCGACACTTTAATTAAAAAGGAAAGCATATTTTTTTCTTAAAAAAACTCCAGGAAGTGGTTCAAATACTTTTTTGGAGGATGGCGGGGGGGAGGGGGAGGGGGGGTGGGAGAGAGAAAGGAATTTTTTTTAAGAAGAAATCACACTGCAGGTTGACAGTTACACAGCTATAAATAAAGTTTAAAACAAATAATAATAATAATAATAATAATAATCATCATCATCATAGCCCCAGCACCGAGCCAGTGACAGCGGGGGCCCCGGAACCGGTATAGGCCAGCAGCAGCCGCGCGCTGGCCCCGCGGAGCGCTGTGTTACACATGGTGCGGGGCGCGCCCGCCCGCCCGCCAGGCCCCGGCCTTACCTGCGAGCGTCTCTGCGGCAGGAGCCGAGCAGGACCCGGTACGCCAACTCGATGTGCTCCCGCCTCACCTCCTCCGGCCTCACGCTCTCCGCCCACTGCCAGGCCGCCTTCTCCAGCTGCTGCTTCGGGGCCATGCGCGCACTGCCTGCTGCGCCCGAGGCGGCGGGAGCCGCGCTGTGTGTGTGTGTGTGTGTGAGGGGGGCTCCGGGCCTGGTCTGCTCTGCTCCGCGCCGCCAAGCGACCGCCCGCCCGCACACCCGCCCCCTTTTTTTTTGCTTCGCTTTCCTTTCCTCTCCTCTCCCCTCCGCCGCCGTCGTCGACGCCGCCGCCGCTGCTGACGTAGCACGCACCAGAGCGCAGGAACTGCGTGACGTTTCCGCGCACCGTGAACGTGTGACGCGCGGCGCAGCGTCACCGCTGCTCCACGTGTCTCCCCGCCCTCAGGCCCCGCCCCCGCCCTCAGGCCCCGCCCCCACGCCCCACGCCCCGCCCCCACGCCCCACGCCCCGCCCCCGCCCCACCAGAGCAATGTTGTCAGATGAGCCATCAAATGATGGACATTTTTTTTCAGTGTTTACGTTTGTAATCCTTTCTCCCCTTTTGTGGACCTTTCCCGCGGGGGTCCGAGCGCGGGGAAGGGGCGGTGTAGGGGTGTGAGGGGAGGCAGAGCGAGGGGGGAGGGAGACCAAAGGCTCGGTCGCAGAGAGTGACCGTGTGGGTTACGTCCTCATTACAAGAATGAGCCCCGAGAAAGTTTTCAAGTACATAAGAACATAGAACGTAAGAATTTCTGGACGGAAGAAGACCAAGGTCCATCCAATTGGCCCGCCACTATCCTGGCAGTCGCGTGCGAATGTCATGTCCCAAACTCTATATCGTATCTCAAGATATTGTTTCCGAACAGAAACCTATCTCATTTGCTTTTGGAAAACTCAACACCTTCTGCTTCTCCCGCCTCCCTCGGGAGCCTGTTTCCGTACCTTTCTACTCGCTCGCTGCAATGGTGCTTCTGCAGATTTGTTTGGAATTAGCCGGAAAGGAATTCTTTCAAACCACCAGGCGTTGCAGTTCCGCAACGCGACCAAAGATAACATTCAATAAAGATAACGGCTGTATCCCAAAGGAGTTTATCAGTCTTACAGTTCGAAATATTGGTTCAACGAATTTCCGGATCGCGATCTTCAAAAATATGGTAACGGTTAGATTTGCTTTACGTTTAGTTGGAAACATGATTGTCAGTGGCTGGGTTTTATGTTACAGCAGAATTAATGTTATCTAAGGGAAAAGGTAAATCAGCTCGATGAAAATGATGGACTGAGTTTGACCCCAAAGCTGGACATTTAATAATTTTCTCAACCAGCGAAAAGCAGACAAGCGTTTATCTGGGTGTAAAATGGAAAAAATCCTCACGACATACTATCAGCCGGTGCGCAGTGAATGCTACAACTACAGACACTAACTCTACAATTGATAAGACACAGTATTGTCTGAAAGACAACATCTGTTTGAAAGTGAAGTTGGGACTAACTGTGTTGTGGTGTCTCCATGGCTACACAAAGCCACACATTCCAGGCATAAAGTGAAATCCCCCTACACAGGAAAGTTGGCTGTCTTTTTGGATGTCAGAAAGATAGACACACAGCACTTCCCCTCCAGAAGGAAACACATTCCTTGACTTACAATTTGCATGATTTCCCCCCGCCCACCACACCCCCATTCTGCACCCAAGAGACGCTGGTTCGTAGCGGAAAGCGATTGAATCCGTGAGAGAAAGCAAAGCGACAGTGTCACTGTCAGTGTTCGCCTGCTTTAGAGATTTTACGCCTCTTTGAAGGATGGGGAACGACACAGGAAAAGCTTCACAAGTTTTTCTTCTGCTGAGCCTGATGCTGCTACAAGTGAACTCCATGCAAACAGGTACGCAGACCCATAGAACGCTAGCGCTCAAGTCCATTCAGCCCTTCGTGTCTGTACTGGCTTATTTGAAAGTGAACTATCATAGTTACCGGATGCTTTGCAATGTTTTCATGTTGAGAGACCATTGGTTCGCACCTTTGCTCTTTTGGGTGCAATTAATTCTCATTCTTTCCTGTTCTCCCTGAATCCTAACTTGAACACATATTTAATAATAATAATCCTTGCATTTGATGCAGCACCTTTTCGCATCTTCGAGACGTCTCAAGTGCTTCACAGAATATTCCGTAAAGTGAATTGATTGTATATTTTGTGGGTGAAAGACGACATTCCATTGCGTAAAGCAGTGTCCCACAAACAGTCGTGGATTGAGTGACCAATTGTGTTTGTATAAAGCATAATTTTATGCAACAAAATGTTTGATTTGCCGCATGATAAGCTGATTAACACAGTTGTGTCCTCTTCAAGCAAGGAAAGAGTTCTTTCTGGAAAGAGTTTAATACAAATAGAACTATCCGAACAGATGATTATTTGGTTACTGTTTGTCACTGACTTTTGCCTCTTGTAACTACTGTAACGTCGACTTTTCAGGTCATGTTTTGTTGCTGTCGTGGGCACACAGCCACTCCGGGCATCTGCTGTAATGAATTGTGGTGTTTGTGTGAGAAATAAAATCAGTAAACATCACCTAAATGACAAATTTTAGATGTTTTATTTTCAAAGCCCTCTCCAACCAGACTCAGCGAGACCAGGAACAATAGGGGATGAGCAAAATCCCACCAGTCAAATCAGATTTAAACATTCTTTGGAATGTCCCAACTAGACTCCATTCAGCCCCTGGAAACGCCAAACTAATAAACCCTGAGAGACAATAAGTCCCTGTGCTCACCAAGTCTCCTCCCAGCATAGGTAATGTCAGAAGCTGACAGTTACCAGCAAACCCGAATTAAGTTTTATCGGAGTCTGCTCAGCGGAATACAAGAAACAAAGGCTCACTTTCTCAATTGTGAAGGAAAATATCTGCAATTCCCCCACAAAATATACAGATCAATTCACTTGCCAGCATATTCTGTGAAGGGCTTTGAGACATCTTAATGACATGATAAGGCGTTATATCAAATGCAACGATTATTATTATTGCTCAGAGCTCGATTGCTAGTACTTTTGTCTCTGGGACCGAAGATTGTGGGCTCAAACCCCATGTCAGAGAAGATACCATAGTTCATAGCCTAGGCTGACACTCCAGCGCTGCACTGAAGGAATGCTGCATTGTATAAGGTGCTGAAGTAAAACTAAGTCCAAGTTTTTAACATTCACCTGAAGTGATTATCAGTGACGTACTTTTTCATAAATATTCTACGTCTTTGTTATTCTTGAGCAATCGGGAGTAATGGCACGGGTTAATGGTTAATGGGGAGGTTAGAAGAAATGTTTTCACTCTCTTGCCATAACTGCGTGTGGGACATCACTTTACGTAAATTGGCTGCTGCGTTCGCCTACACATACACAGTCACTACACTTTACAGTAAAACCCTATGAAGCGCTTTGTGATGCCTCAACGACATAATAAGAAGCAATATCAAATGCAAGGATTATTATTTATTATTTCTGTTAAGTCTGAGCCTCTACAGTCACTTAATAATCCTTGCATTTGATATACCGCCTTTTACATAGGGAAAATGTCTCAACAGACAGGATAGTGGAAGAACAGGGGAACGAGATGACATTGGATTAGACGCACCAATGGATGAGATGAGCCGAATGGCCGCTCTCCTATTGCATTCTTTGTGAATTTTTGATGCCCTCCTAGTGCAACCTTCTCACTTAGCAAACAAGAGCGAAACGAAACCCTTCTTTAAAATAATCTCGATCACCTTCCTTATGGCTTCTTAAAACTCTGCAGTAAAAGATAAACTCATAGGATACGTGTTTCTGGGACACTACCCTGCGTGAGGGGCGCTATATAAATGTAAGTTGCTGTTGTGTTTCCTACAACCTGTGTTTCATGCGTCTACGAAGGATGTGACCAAGAAGAGTTTCTCTCCTGGTATCCTGGCCAACAATTCCCCCCAGATAAAATTGGTCACTCACTTCATGGCTGTTTGTGGGACAGTGCTGTGGTAGAAATTGCCTGTCGCGTTCTCCTATAAAACACACAGTCTCTGCACTTCATAACAATAACAACTTGCATTTATACAACACCCTTCACATGCAGCAGTGACTATGTATAATTTACAGTATATCTCGGGAAACCCTTTGAGACTTCCTCCCGACATGACATTATTATTGATGAATTATTAATTATTAATATGATGAATAATTAATCGCATTAACATGCATGAATAAAATGTTTCCAGACTTCAGCTTTCTCAGGCTGCCTGAATTGTGTTTACACACATGTAACTCAATTATACAATGATTGTGTTTCTTATTGTTTCAAGTCAACCTGGTGGATTTATGTGGGCAGAACATCAAAGGAGATGGAATGATTGTCAACTCGCACGGTGAATCTCGCAAGTATTATTTTGTGACGGTGAGGACTGACTGCCTTGTCACCATGCAGGCAGCGAGGCTGAAGGACAAAGTTCAGTTCCACTTCCGATTCTTCCTGGTCTACAGCCTCCTGAGAGAGTCCTCCATCCACTATCCCACCACCGCGTCCGAGATACTTCATCACAACACCACAGGAGCCTTCGTCCCACAAAACACCAGCAAGCTGGGGCTGTACTCCCCCTGGGAGGAGACTGGCGACCCATGCAATGCTGGATCCTATGTGCAATTTTATGATGGGAAAGATAAGAATTCGCCTCCCATTGGCTCTCCGTTATGTGGAAAAAGTATCCCCAGACCAATTTATTCAACTGGGAGCCATCTCTCTCTGAGGCTGGTCACCAGAGGCCAGCAGCCAAGAGTAGACTTTGTTGGGGATTTCACCTCCTACAGAATAGGTGAGCAGTATTTTAGTCCATTTGAACGTGGAAATGCATTGACATCAACAATATCAGTAATATAAATTATATCAATGGCAAGCCATGCAGTTTTAACTGGTTAGACTCCAGCTGTTACCCCAACACACACACTGGGGTCCTCAAGTCTTGGCTCTTACCAACCTGGACCTAATACTGTCTGGAATTAGGTAAACAGGATGCTTAGGTAACCAGGGAGAAAGAGAGAGAGAGAGTGCGCATTCCACAACTATCTATCTCTGGGATTTCCATGTGTAGGCGGGAAGCATGTAATTCTCAGTTTGGTTTGGATACTCTTAAGCACAGAGATCGGTTTCCACATGTGTCAGTCACCCACCAAATAAACCACATCAACATCAGGCTTTCTGTGTTGCATTCACTGCGACTCTGATACCCTCCGACAGCAGCCTGTTCACTTTGCAAACAAAATGAAACAAAACCCTTTTCTTTAAAACAATCTCTGACATACCACACCATCCTTCAAGTGTTCCTTAAAACTCTTCAATAAAATATAAACTTGTGATATTTCAAGTTAGATGCAGGGTAAGGTGATGGGTTACAGAAGGAGTCTTGTTTTTATAAATGAAACTTTTGGTAACATCAATTGGTGAGGAGGTTTGAGGCTTAGGCCTTAAACTAATGATCATAGAGATATATCCTTAAATCTAGGCATAATTCTTTGCTTCGGTATTAATAAGTTATTCATATATGGGGTCACACTGTAACTTCAGTGACCCTCTCCTACCACATTGGGACGTCCTCCTGACGTGAAAAGCGCTATATCAAATGCAAGGATTATTATTATTATTATTATTTCATCTATTCCCTCTGACACGTAACTAAAACTAGTAATAAAAATCCTTGGATATGATACAGCATCTTAACGTGTCGTTGAGACGTCTCAAAATGCTTTGCGGGATTTACCGTAAAGTGTAGTGACTGTGTATTTTGTGGGTCTCAACTGACCTATTGATAAGCAATCTTTTTGTCATCGTGCGAGAACTCAGCCCTAAACAGCACAAACTGCAGAGTGCACAAACTCCCGTGTTTTGAGATGCCCTCCTGACACGAAAGACGTTGTATAAATATATATTGTCCTGTATGTATTGGCTCTAGACCTGCTAAGTGTGGAGTATCTTGTACTTTCCTACAGGTTTCAACTCCTCAGAATGCCGTGCAGAATCTTACTTTCAGTGCCAGAACGGAAAATGTATCCCCTCGAGTCTGGTCTGCGATTCCAAAGCGATCGACAACTGTGAAGATGGAAGTGATCAGTCCAGTCTCTCTCCAGCAAACTGCAAAGGTTGGTGAAGACTAACTCCTGTTGAGAGCATTGGGTTACCAGCGATGAGGAGGTTTCAATTCTGAGACTTGAGGAGATAGGGATTTATTTCACCATAATAATAATTCCTGCACTTGTTGTAGCACCTTATCATGCTGCCGAAATGTCTCAAAGGACATTGTATTGTAGAGTGTAGTGAGTTGCGTATTTTGTCGGCAAAGATACACACGCAGTCACTATACTTCACAGTAAAATCCTGTGAAACACTTCAAGATGTGAAAGATGCTGTATCAAATGCAAGGATTATTCTTATGCCATGTCTATTATTATACCTATTGTTTGGAAGTTGTACGACAGTAAAATGTAGGATTGACCTTTTAGTTACAGAAGGGAATAAATGGAAATAAGTGCTCAGATTTGTGATATTTCCAATGAAACTGTAAATTCTGTCACTCAAAAAAGCACGAGTGATCTGTTTGCTCAAGCTCATCCCAGGCAGCAGAAAGCAGTCATTTCTCCATGAACAATAATGTGTGTCAGGATAGGAAGCAAAACACCTTCATTATAAACACCATCACTATATCCCCAACCCAGGTGTGTGAAATCTTGAGGTTCTGGGTCTGAATGATACATTCTTAGATATTAAATATGGAGTATAAAAGTGAAGAAGAAATGTTCAATTTGAATAAAACTTTGCTTAGACCATATTTGGAGGAGTGTGTCCAACTCCATTTCCGAATTAAAAGGAACTACTTCATGCACAGAGTGGTGAGATTGTCCTGTAGCTCAGTGATTAAAGCTCTCTACTCACAAGCGAGAGACCTGGGTTGGATTCCCGGCAGATCGAAACCTTGGGCAAGTTTGTTCACTCTACACGCCTAATTCCTCAAGAAAAAATAAAAATGAAATAAAAATAAAATTGGTCACTTCAATCCATGACTGTTTGTGGGACGCTGCTGTGTACAATTGATTGCCGCGTTTCGTCCACAAAATACACAGTCAATTCATCTTACAGTCTGTTCTGTGAAGCGCTTTGAGACGTCTCAAAGATGTGAAAAGCGCTATATCAAATGCAAGGATTATTATTATTAATGTAGAACTCACTTCCTGAAGTAGTGGTTGAAGCAGGTAGTTTAGATGCACGTGGAGTCCTGTAGTACAGTGTTTCGAACACTCACCTTGCAAGCGAGAGAGTCTGGGTTTGATTCCCGGGCAGGGCGATACCTTAGGCAAGTTTCCTCACTCCACACGTCTGTTTACCGAGCAGTAAGTAGGAATCAGATTGGTAGTTGAGTGGCGGATCACTTTCCCGGAGGTAATAATCCCTTCAAAAAAAATTGTTTTAATAAAAAATAATAATTTAGTCACTCAATCCATGACTGACTGTGGGACGCTGCTGTGCGCAATTGGCTGCTGCATTTCGCCCACAAAATATACAGTCAATTCTCTTTACAGTAATGAAGCACTTTAAGACGTCTCAATGATGTGATAAGGCACTATATCTAAAGCAATATTATTATTCAGGAGGAAGCTGGACCTTCAGATTAGGCAGATGGGAATAGTAGGGAACAGGAGACATAAGGAGTGAGACTCAGGTGGAGCATAAACACCAGAAGAGACTGGTTGACCCTATAGCCTGTTTCCGTGCTGTACAGTTTTGTGTAAATCTGTGTAAATATATGTGAAAAATTCTACAACTCTTCATTGTTCATGTTTCACTACTGAGCGTCCACTTAAAATGTGGTTCGGGTTACTGGCGGAGGGATGTAGGGACGGGGTGTACTGGCCATATGTAATTTGTGTTGTGAGAGACACAGAGAAAAGATTGAAACTTCATTGATGTTGAACCTCAGCGGGGGCTTTTTTCACTGGTCATGAACAAGTAGATATTTGTCAGTTCAGAGTATTAAGGGATGGGGGGCAAGGGAGGGTAACTGGACTTGAGATACAGATCAGCCATGATCTTATAGAAGGGAGGCTGGAGGGGCTGAATGGCCTCCTCCTGTTGTGCAGCGCCTTGGGACGTCCTCCTGACGTGAAAGGCGCTTTATAAATGGAATCTTGTTGTTGTTGTTGTTGTTCTATGGCATGCTTCGCAGCACCCTCTGGTGGAAGGCACCGGAGGATTATACAGTGGGAGGGAGAAAAGGTTATGTTAAAATTGTGAAACCATGAAATGCCTGAAATTAGGAGTCAGATATTTCATGAAAAAGTGATAATGTCATCATATTCATAACCTGGTCTTGACACCTGTTAGCATTATCAACAAATCAATATCTGACACTCATCGTGAACTGGAGTGAGGTTTGGTCACGGTTTAGCTCAGGGATGATTTGGACTGTAAATTGGGAACCATTATCAATCTGAATAAAATCTTTCAAAAATCACTGTGTACTGGAGAGGTGCCGGGGGCCTGAAGAAAGGCAGATGTTACTCCTATTTTTAAGAAAGACATGAAAAGTGACCCAGGAAACTACAGAACAGTAAGTTTGACATCCATTGTGGGTAAAAAATTGTGGAGAATCTTATAAAGGATAAAATCATAGAGCATCTGGACAGAAATAAAATCATAAATTATAGCTAATATGGGTTCATGAAGGGGAGGTCTTGCCAGTCTAATTTACTATTTTTCTTGGACAGTGTGACAAGGGAGCTTGATATGGGTAAGGCTGTGGATGTTGTATATCTGGGGTTCAGTAAGGCCTTTGATACGTTTCCTCTTGAGAGGCTGATACTGAAAGTAAAGAAAGTGGGAATCAGTGGAGGTGTATTACAATGAATACGCAATTGGTTGACCGGAAGAACCCAAAGGGTGGTGGTACAGGGAATGTCATCAGACTGGGAAAACGTTACCACAAGGGTCTGTTTTGGGACCTCTTTTGTTTAATATTTTTACAAATGATCTGGAGCTGGGAGTCGCCAGCACAGTGGCTAAGTTTGCAGATGACTCCAAGCTAATGAAGCTGAACAAGATGGGTTACAGGAGGATTTGAACTTACTTGGAAATTGGGCAGATCGGTGGCAGATGAAATTCATTGTGGAGAAATGTAAAGTACTTCAAGGGGACAAAAAATCCTGGAAGAGACTATTATTTGAATGGAACGAAAATAATATGTATGGAAAATGGAAAGGATCTGGGGGCCTGATTTATAATAAATTGAAGCTCTTTCAACAATGCTCTCTGTCAGTGAGTAAAGCAAACCAGATGTTGGGATGTATCAAAAGATGAATAGCAGCTGAAATAGTGGGATAACCCTGCCACTGTATATATCATCATTGAGACCACACTTAGAGACTGTGTACAGTTCTGGTCACTGCAGTACAAAATGGATATTGGAGAAATCGAGAAGATACAGAGGAGGGCAACCAAAATGATTGAGGGAATGGAAGGATTGGGCTATGAGGAGCCACTAAGTAAATCGGGCATATTCACGCTGGAAAAGAGAAGATTGAGAGGCGACATGATTGCTGTCTTTAAGATTCAAAAGGGGCAAAACAGTATAGATCATGACCGGCTGTTTCAACTTGTCCAGAATAGTAAAACCAGAGGCCACGGCCTGCGATTGAAGGGGGAAATTCAGAATGAATCTTTGCAAACACTACGTCAGTGAGCGAATAGTGAACCTGTGGAACAGGCTCCCGAGGGAGACGGTTGAAACAGGAAATGTTGATTCTTTCAACACAGATTAGATAGTTTTCTTTTAGGAAATCACATTATGGGATACAGACGCAGGGAGTTTGGGACATATGTGTAAGCGACCGCCAGGAAGGTGGAAGGCAAACTAGATGGACCTTGGCCTTTTTTTATCTAGCATTTCTTACGTTCTTATAATAATAATAATAATCCTTGCATTTGTTATAGCGCTTTTCACGTCTTCTAAACGTCTCAAAGCGCTTCACAGAATACGCTGTAAATGAATTGACTGTATATTTATGGGCAAAACACGGCAGCCAATTGCGCACAGCAACGTCGCACAAACAGTCGTGGATTGAGTGACCAATTTATTATTGTTTTTAATTTTTTTTTTGAGGGATTATTATCTACCAATCGCCTAACAAATAGTAAATGCGACTGACAGCTTGTAAATATGATTATTCTGTTATTTCCAAGTGGCTGTGGCTCTCATTGTTATATCTGTTTTTTCCTTCCAGCTCATGTCTCCACTTCAGCGACTCAGGCCGGCAGCACCAGCTCGGTGTTGCCAAACATCTCGACGTCCCCTCCTAACAACCTCACAGCCGTGTGCGAAATACACAACAAGCAAACACCGGCAGAGCCTGGCACGGCTCCCCGGGCAGATTCTGTCAGAGGTGCTTTGATTATTGCTCAAGTTTTTTTGGTCAGCCGGGTGTCTGGCACATGCGGAAACCCATCACCGTCGCTTGAGAGCATCCAAACCAAACTGAGAATTCCATGCATCCCATCCACACGTGGAAATCCCAGAGATAGATTGTTGGGATGGAATGCACTCACTCTCTCTCCTCTATCACCCTGGAGAGATGCATCCTGTTTACCTAATTCCAGAAAGTATTAGGCGAAGGTTGGCAAGAGCCAAGACTTGAGGACCCCCACGGGTACGTTGGGGTAACTGCTGGAGTCTAACCAGCTAAAACCATATAGTTTGCCATTGAGAGCTCTGTCTGGCAAGCTTTCCCACTAATCATCCAGCTAGGACCACCCTGCCCATTAGTTAGGGCTTTGGCTGCAGGGTTAACAGGAATTGAGTGGGATGACTCGCTGCCCACTGGTCGGTCGGCCCATCCCGGTCCTGCTAAGCTAGGCTGGGCTGCCATCAGCAGTGAGTGCCCTGGAATACTGTAGACCCGCCAGGCTCAAGAACCGGCCCGACACAGAGGGTTGCATCGATTCCAACACTCCATTGCCAAGCATGTCACCTTGGAGCCAGTTCAGCTCCGAGGAGACTCCGCTTAAAGTTACCATCTCCTGGTTTCTCACCTTTGGTAAACATTTCGCCCACAAAATATAGAGTCAATTCACTTTACAGATTATTCGACGTGATAAGGTGTGGCGTCCTGTAGCCCAGTGGTTAGAGCACTCGCCTCACAAGCGAGAAACCTGATTCGATTCCCCGGGCAGAGAAAAATGTTGGGTGAGTTTCCTTTCTCCACACGCCTCTGTTGACCGAGTAGTGAGTAGGAACCCGGTTGTTGGGCAATTGGCAGATTGCTTTCTGGGAGTAATAATTCTTTCAAAAAAAAATACTTGGTCACTCAATCCATGACTGTTTGTGGGACGCTGCTGTGCGCAATTGGCTGCCGTGTTTCGCCCACAAAATATACAGTCAATTCATTTTACAGTATATTCTGTGAAGTGCTTTGAGACGTCTCGAAGACACGATAAGGCACTATATCAAATGCAAGGATTATTATTATTTCCATGGTGCTGCAGTTGGTTGCACTGTTGCCTCAGAGTCAGAAATTCCTGCTGTAACTTGGGCTCACAGCCTAGGTTGACCTCCAATATAGCGCTGCATTGTCCTGGGTGCGTCCTTCGGATGAGACGTTAATTCAAGAAAAGAAAAGGGAGCTTCTCTCTCCTCATGTCCTGGCCAACAATCTCCTTAAAGGAATCGGTCTTTCCCTTCATGGCTATTCGTTTGACGCTGCGTGTTGCAAATTGGCTCTGCTGCGTTCACCTTCAATCGCTGTTGTACAGTAAATCCCTTGAGATGTTTTGATGACATGACCAGGTGCTGGAATGTTATCGAGCAATTGAGTGACGTGGACTGTCCACCAGAGAGTGCTGTGGAACAAGCCATGACCTGCTGTGAATTAACATTAATGAAGGTCTCAATCTGCACAAATCTGGGAACATTTGGGAGAATTGCTCAGTGTGTTTTGCAGATGAACACCATGTGGGGAATCTTGTGATGTTGTGAGATAGTGCGACGCTCTGAATGGGAAGGTGTTAAACATGGGCCCTCTGGAAAAATGGAGTCCCATAGGGTAGTGGGTTGGAGCACTCACCTCGCAAGCCAGAGGACCCGGGTTCGTTTCCCGGGCGGGGCAATATCTTAGGCAAGTTTCCTTACTCCACGTTCCTGGTTAGCAGTAAGTAGGAACCCAGTTGTTAGTGGATTAGCGGATCGCTTTCCGGGGGTAACAATCCCTCAAAAGAACTGATCACTCAATCCACCTGGGACACTGCTGTGTGCAACTAGCTGCTGCATTTTGCACACAAAATACAGTCACTACACTTTACAGTCTTGAGATGCATTACTGACTTGATAAGGCGCTTTATTAAATGCGAGGATTATTATTATTGTTATTATTATTATTGTGGGAGCTGAAGCGTTTTCTTGAGATTGGGAAATGTTTGATCTTGATGTCCTTTCTGGCTTTGCTTGCAGACACCTCGTACGTCTCGTGGCTGGTGCTTTACGTGGTGCTGGGAGCGCTCGGCGGGGCTGCGCTCCTCTTCTGGTGCTGCTGGTCACCGGGCTGCTGCATCTGGAGACTCAGTGTCTGCAGGTTCCTCCCGTGCTGCAACTCCTTCTGTGCCTCCTGCCAACTCTGTACCCGCAGCTGCTCCCAGAAGGACAGTAGGTGCCTGGCCAAGGTCACACCACAAAACACAGTCACTGTTCACATGTAACTACCACAGACACACGCGCGCGCGCACACACACGCACACACACACACTCCAAGTAACGAACGTTAATTGTACAAGAGCTTCCACATCCCAACCTTACATTCAGTCCTGTAGCGCAGTGGTTAGCACCTCGCCTCGCGAGGGAGAGGACCCGGGTTCGATTCCCGGGTGAGGCGAAACCTTAGGCAGGGGACCGGGGTGAGCAGAGAATGGATGGAGCAGATTTCATGAGGTCCTTGGAAGGCCCCTGGTCTGGCCTCTCACTGGGGGTGTTTCCCAGGAGCAGGATGTCTTGATGGTTTCCCCTTCTTATCCCTGCGAAAGGCTACTGCCAATATAGCTTCCCACGCAGGGCCTGCAAACTCAACACAGAGGGAACTGAACCAGCGAGATCCATCCTCGGGGGCTGCTCCGACAGTAAAACATTCCTACAAGAATGTTTGCACACTGTTGACCCTTGTAATTCGCAGTTAACACAACTCACATAGTTAAGAAATATACGATTTGCCTTCCTCTGAGAGGGATGTTTCAATTTGTCCAGCAGTCAGTCTGACTGTCAGGTTAATGAAGTTCTTTCAACTGCGAGCCAATTAATTTAGCTAACAGGCTGTATGGGATTGACCTCTTACCTTTAGCCCAGTCGCCGGTCGAACCACAGCAATTTACAGCACAGAAGTCCATCGAGTCTGTGCTGTTTATTTTAAAAGAGCATTTATCTGTCCTTTCACTGCACCCAATTGAAATGCTGACTGCAGCAGGTTCAATTACACTACTGATCTGTGTAAGACAGCTGTCAAAAATCCAAATTTATTGCAAATTTATTTTTAGACGCTCAAGTTTAATTCTCCAGCTCAGTGACTATGAACCACAAACTTTTGTTACGCGAAATAGAAACATGTCGTCCGTCCAGAACAACTGTCTTTCTATCTCAGAGACACAGGGTCAGAAACGCTGCCCAGCGTGCAGATCGTTATAATAATAATAATCCTTGCATTTGATATATATCGCCGTATCATGTCTTCGAGACGTCTCAAAGCGCTTCACGGGATACAGTGTAAAGTGAATTGACTGTATAATTTGTGGGCAAAACTCAGCAGCCAATTAACCACAGGAGCGTCCCACAAACAGTCGTGGATTGAGTGACCGACTTGCTATTTTTTGAAGGAAATATTACCCGCAGGAAAGCGATCTGCCAATCGACTACCAACCAGGTTCCTACTTACTGCTGGGTAAACAGAGGCGTATGGAGTAAGGAAACTTGCCTAAGGTTTTGCCCTGCCCGGGAATCGAACCCAGATCCTCTCGCTTGCGAGGCGAGTTCTCTAACCACTGAGCTACAGGACTATATAAATGCGAGTTATTGTTGATTTTCCTCTCGGCCCCACCCAGTCAGCTGTGGGGTACCCAAAGGCTCCATCGTCGGCCCCCTACTTTTCCTCATCAACATGTTCCTCCTCGGCAATGTCATCCGCAGACATGGGGTGAACTTCCACATGTAATAATAATAATAATAATCCTTGCATTTGATATAGCGCTTTTCACATCTTCCAGACGTCCCAAAGTGCTTCACAGAATATACTGTAAAGTGAATTGACTGTATATTTGTGGGCGAACACGGCAGCCAATTGCGCACAGCAGCGTCCCACAAACAGTCATGGATTGAAAATGACCAATTTATTATTGTTTTGTTTTTTGGAGGGATTATTATTAGTAAGCGGATGACACACAAATCTACTTTTCCTCCAGCTGCGACTCACAGTCCATTGATATCCTTCCTGTCAGCTTGTTTGATGGACATCATGACCTGGATAAGTGCAAATTTCCTGCAGCTGAATGTCGCTAAGACACAAGCCATAATCTTTGGCTCCTGTCAATGTCTTCTCTCCTGTGGGTCTGAACTCCTCAACCTCCCTGGCCTCTCCTTCAGACTTTCTGAACCCTCAGGCATCAGGTTGGATCCCCAGCTTTCCTTTCTATTCTAACATCCATTCCCTGACCAGAACTTTTTTCCATCACATTGTCCGCCTCGGTCCGTACCTCACAACTGACGCAGCTGAACCCCACGTCTAGACCTTTGTCACTTCCTGGATGGACAATCCTATCGCCCTCCTCACTGGTCTCCCCAGCTCCACCATACCATACACTAAACCCAATTAATTCAAAACACTGCTGGCCGGATACTCACCTGCACAAAACTCACCCCAGCCCTTGCCAGGCTCCACTGGCTCCCAATCACCGAACAGATTGATTTCAAGATCCTCTCACTCACTCTCAAATCATTTCATTCCCTCGCACCTCCCTACTTATCTGACCTGGTTACCCCCCACTCCATCACCCGCTGCCTCTGCCTTGCCCCCTCCCTCCCCAACTTCAAATCCCCCTAACGACCTTCCTTTTTGATCGTGCTTATGATCACCCCCCCGTTCCCTCTCCCCCTGGCTCGGGGTCAGACTCTGCCACTCTGAAGCACTCCGGGACGCTATCCCATGTGAAGGGCACTGTATAAATGCAAGTTGTTGTTGTTGAAAAATTGAATTAATTAGTTAATTGAATGTTTTTAATGGTGAACTCCTGCGTTCATTTTATTTCAATTGTCTATTGAATCACAGCGTATAATAATGTACAGTTCATCTTTCAGAAAAAAACTAGAAAAATTGGTTTGCAAGGATAATAGATAAGGATAACACAATAGAGAATATTCTAAAGATGCAAATTTCCAATGATAATACAATTGATAAAAAAAAGCATAAAACCCTTAAGACAACAGACTATTGACTGCAAGAATGTTCCTTACCAGCAAAAAGCCAATTTTTTGTATTAAGTGACTATTCCAACAAGCTTTCCAAATCCATATGGTACAAAATACTTCGGAAAAGTAAGCTTTGATTGTATTTATTTTGTTTCCCATGTAATTTGGGATTGTGATTTGAAGAGATATGTTTTACAATGCTGGTCTGTGATACACAATAAGTCTGTGATTTGGATCTTAGTGTAATTACTGTAAAACAAGAATGTTGAATGGATCAAAGTGAGTGCTGTAAATGTAATGGGCAGATTAAAAATGTGGACATTATATATTTTGTTGGTCAGCCTGGAGTCTGATATATGCAGAAACCCAGCACCAAACCTTGAGAGCTTCCAAACCAAACTTACAGAATTGCACACATCCCACCTACACATGGAAATTTCTGAGATATTTATTGAAATGGAATGTGCGCTCTCTCCCTCCTTGTCTAATTCTGGAAAGTATTAGACAAAGGTTTGCATGAGCCAAGGCATGGGGACCCCAGAGTGTGCATTGGGGTAACTCCTGGAGTTTAAGCAGCTGAAGCCACAACGTATCGTTGATATCCACATTTGGACCACCCGACTTGTAAGGGCTTTGACTTGTGGGGTTAACAGGAGCTGAGTAGGTGGACTTCCTGCCCCCAGCCATGAGTCTGTGCTGTTATTAGCAACGCTCTGGAATATTGTAGACCCATTTGGCTCAGGAACTGGACTAAAGACCATTACCATTATTATTAGACTGAAATCTAATATTCCGCTGCCAGTTCAATTCCATTAAAAAGCAAACGGAGTAAGGAGTAAGATCAGGATTTAGATCAACAACTCATGTTTTACAAGCCTTTCACATAAATGAAGCATCTCAGAGCACTTAATAGAATTAAATAAATTGAAATATATGATGGATATTTGGGGGATTAAGCACTCTGAAATTCTGCCCCATGTGAGGAGCGCTATATAAATACAAGTTGTTGTTTTGTAGCTGTTAGAGGTAGTTTGAGGGAATACAATTTAGGAACTGCCTCAATATGCTGCTTTCTCCAGCATTCCACTCTCTGGGCTCAGCTGTTTATCAGTGGACAAGTGCATTGGGAGCACAAATTCAGCTTAAAGGGTATGATGCCATTACAGAGAGCTGGCCACAAGCTGGGCATGACTGGGAGCTAAATATTCCAGGCTGTAAGATCTTTAGAAAGGACAGGGACATTAGGAAAGGAGGAGAAGCAGCAATACTGATAAAAGACACAATCCAGCAGTAGAAAGTATTTCAGTAACGGTGATCAGGCCGTGGAAACACTATGCATAGAATTAAGGAACAGCAAAGGAGACAAGGTGGGAGTTGTCTTTTGACCTCCAGATAGTAGTGATGTCGTGGGGGGATGTAATAAATGCAGAGATCAGGGAAGAATGTAACAAAAGCAATGTGGTTGTAATGGGAGATTTTCATTTTCATATAGACTGGGAGAAGCAGAATAGCTCCAGTAGGCAACGCAACAAATTTCCAGAATGTATTCAGGACAGTTTTCTGGAACAATATATTTTAGAACGGACTAGATTAGGCGAACTAGACTTGGTGATGAGTAACGAACCAGAATAGTTAACAATGTGAAGGTAAGGCAACATCTGGCAAATAGTGACCATAATTCACTCAAATAGACTTGTTTTTCCCACAAAATATTCAGTCAATTCACTTTACAGCATATTCTGTGAAATGCTTTAAGACGTGACGAGGCGCTATATATGAAATTAAAGCATTATTATAATGATATTGAATTTGATATAAGGTTTGAGAGGGAGAAGGGAGAGTCACAAACCACGATTTTAAATTTAAACAAGGCGAACTTAGAAGGGATGAGAAATAAATCAACTGCAGTAAACTGAGCTGAACTGTTAATGGATAAACCCACGGACATACAGTGGGAACCATTCAAAGAAGAATTTGGTACAATACAAAACCAGTCCATACCCCTAAACACAAAAGCTCCTCTTGTGGAGTTCATCGTCAACAAATGAGGTGAGTGGCAGCAACAAACTAAAAGAAAAGGTTTACACTACTGCAAGAAACCATGGAAATCCAGCGGCCTGGGAGACTTATAAGAAGCAACATATAAAGTAAGAAGAGGTGCAAAAAGGGAATATGAGAATAAATTTGCAAGGAATATCAAGGGCAACAGTAAAAGTTTTTATAAATCTATTAAAAGAAAGAGTGTAGTAAAGGGAAATGTGGGTC